TAGTCGAATCATCAATGCTCCAGAATGCGAACGAATATCTCAATGAAAGTCTAATCGTGTGCATACGCGTCCATAATTTTGATTTAATTTGGCATTTGGTAGTGTCAAAGGAGTATTCTCGGTGCATGATCGGTTAACTAAAACAACGCTGGAAAGTGGATATACCATCGTTAATTGTTCACATAACGGAAATACAAGCTTTTGCGCGTGTGTGTGCGTGCGCGCTCTCGTATACGCGTGCTTGTGTATGCGTACGGGATGAGGTGAGAGAGAGAAAAATATACATATTAACAGAGATTTATTAGATCGGTAAGGATTCAACGGGGTTCAAATATACAAAGTTCTTTAATTCCTTATGGTATTTGTAATGGGAAATATACAATTGTAAGCCTCGTTGTTCGCTTCAACTACCAAGTTTGGTTAATTTCCAATGTACACGAAATACGTCCAAGTTGTGATATTGTGTCATACGCAGCTTGTATCATCGTCACGTTTTATGTACCTGCTCACGGTATTACATACTTTACAACGTCTAAACGAAAGTGAGCTAAACCGTTATTGTCGACAAATAAAGGATAAGAATTTCGTGCTATGATTCAGGTTCCATTCGCCTCGGTGTATTAATGAATGTGAACGTTGTGTCTTTGACTCGGTATCAGCGACCAACCGAAATACAACCTCAGCCATTTTAAGTGGAAGCTCCTTTAATTTAATTGAGCTCACTGAAACGCTGTCACTACTTTGCCACTCGAGCCCAAAAGCAAAAATAAAAATATATTGACGGGCTAATCACCAGCTTTCCTTCGCTACGTAGTAATAATAGGAGCACTACGAGTAAGTGAAGAAAAACGGTTCTTTAATATTATTTAAATTGTACGCTTAATGCACGCGATGAAATATAGCAAAGGCACAGGCGAGTTACTCAAGTAAAAACTACCAACAGCGGGATAAGTGACGTTAACAACAGAAGGCAAACAGCAGATCTATGCGCACACTCTTGATCCAAACAATCTTTCTCACTGGTGCTCAAAAATCCTTTTATGTTTCATGTTCATCTCCCCCCCCCCCCCCAACACTCTTTACATTGCTGCATCGATGGCACGTAAACTCACGTGTATATCGCTGAGCCGTTCAAGGAAAGTAGCACGAACACAAAACTTGATAATTGATAAATAATTAATAATTAATAATTAATAATTGACTTTGTCAATCTATTTGTTGCTGCTGTTGAAAAGATTTAACGTTTAATTGAATGGGATCGCGCTCGGTAGGACATTTGTTTCTCTCCTGCCATAAGCATAAGTTCATCAATCCTTCAATACCGTTGAATTATTACTTTTTCAAGCCCAAGACGGCTAACAATGATGATACGTAACAGAATTAAATAAGAAATTAAAGGGAAGTTTTATTAAATAAATTAGAAATAATTATTAAGTGAGACGATCATCGGCTGGACAATATAACTCGTTTAATGAGAAAAAGATGCAGGACCGTGAGCTTGAAATTCACAGAAATTGGCTAAATTGTGTTTCTGTAATTACTTGACACCTTTGACAATTACATGCGACGTATTTACATAATCATTTCCCATAATGAATAGGTATTCACTGTACGCACAAAGTCTTCATTTATACGGTAAATTTCAGAGATTATTTATAAAATTATTTAATTATCGAAAGAAAAATGGAGTATATCAAAGAAATTAATTTTTTTTTTTTTTTATACATTGTATAAAATAATCATTATTTTTGAATTTCGAATACAATATTATATTTCAATGACAAATAGAAATTAAAGAGCGCTTGTGATTAAAAATCTCAAACATTTAGGCTTTATTTAAAAACCGCTTTATAAAATATAAAGATCACGGCATAAATTGATGAAGCTGTTCTAGTTTTTGAGCAGGCAGGCACGTTTCAATATTATCGTTTCAAAGTCCACCATATTAATAGTAAGTTTACTTAAAATTATGTATACTGGATTTTACGGCATTGCTGTTACAAAGACCGTATTTAATTTTCAGTAAAATAATAGAATAAAATCGAAAATACGGGTACCACGCACAATGTAACGGGACAGGGGTTTGGAAAGTAAAAATAGTTTTAGTCGTTGCTAAATTAAGATAGCACATTAGAAACTAGAACGAACCAACCAACGTGCGTATAACCTTTTCTCATAAACCCATAAATATATATTTATTCGCGTAGATTGTATTAATCTTTCGGTAAATTTATGCGTACAAGTCAATTTATTATGAAATACCACGATGTTATTGAGAATGAGCGTAGTGAATAATCCATACGGATAAGGTTGAATATCACTTTGTAATAACGCCTAATAGGAATAATAAGAAATAAAACGGATAATTTGATGTATTCAAGTTCCTTCGACATCCCAGAGCTTTTAAATTAAAGGAACCTACTAAACAATTCAATAATTGGCACTTGGTCATTGACCTTATACTTTTTGGCATTTTCGTTCACGTGGCAAACGGCTACTAATGCCGTACTAATGATTTTAATACGATATTTGACGAGTGATGAAAGTGAAAAAATAGAAAAAAAATTGGTTCGATTAGCTTCAATTAGTAATTTGTAAAATAATTTTACTTGTAAAATTATGACGTATAAGATTAAAATAATTGATTAAAGGTCATATCTTCATTCAAGGTCGTTTTTTTTTTTTTTTTTTTTTTTTTTTTTTTTATCAAGATGCAAATATATTGCAAAGTAGTGAATTTCAAGAAATTGTTTATTAATTTTTAAAAATGTATTTTAAAAAATTGTTATTTACAGGAGAAATGGTTCAGGACGATGGTTCTCTCCTCGGCTCTAAAATTTTATTTTGTTACATTTTTTAATTCTTTACTATCAGCAAAATGTCAAAAAAAAAAAAAATGAAAAAAGAAAAAAAAAACAAAACAAAACAAAACAAAAAAACAAAACAATAACAAAAATTCTAAACGAAAAACAAGATTTTGAATTGGCCATCTTCGTATAATCGTTATATTCTCTCGCTCGAGTATTCGCGATTAATTCATTCTATTCAGCTGAAAGCAGGAATGTTTAATTACAAGAATCTTTTCAATTAAAGCATTAATATATAAAAAGATATTTGTCATTTATATTATGATTATTATGTCAAAGATGTAATTTAATGAAGACCATTGAAAATTTTTTTACCCAGAGTCGAATGAAAATTGATAAATATAAAAGTACTCACTACGTATCTAAATGTTTAGACATTTGTTTGAATTTTTCCAAGTATTTAATATGCGATAATCTTATACGTTTCATATTTTTACATCTTTATTACATCTAAATAAATTAATTTTATACTTATAGAAAATGCCTACAGCTTAGACCATATACTGGTATTTCTACGTACGACTGAAATTCTAAAAGACTAATTTATTATTGCTTATGTTGTTACAATTCGTGCACTTACATTTTTCCTTAATGGTAATTTGTGCATATTATCTACTTTTTCGGTATTTTAATGAGATGTTTGGTTTTTTGTTTACAGTTTTTCTCGGTACTACGTATAATATAAAGTAAAAATTGTTTGTTAATTTAAGGAAATTCAACGTAACGATATGAGTAATTCGATAATCGACGTATTATTTCGTACAATTCTTGGAAATACTTTCCAATTAAAGTTTTTACTCACCTTAGTCCACTGCCAATAAGATTAAGTACCAAGTCTTTGTTGAGTATCATAATTATTATTGTTTTTCCAATTTTTGGTTAATTGATTTCTGCTATTGAATTTTTGCAAACTTTTATTTTTTAAATAATTAAGATTAGGTAAAACTTAGTCAGTGGCACATCGTTCAAAGCCAATTATTAAATTGATTATTTTCATATGTGGAGGTATAAACAAATATTTTTATTTTCACATAGACTTTATTTTAAAACAGATAGATAATGATTTATGCAGATAAATATATATATATACACATCATTTGTAAGTAATTTAAAGTAGATAAATGAGAGGCAAATGGCTAATATTCTTAGATATAAAACTTTATTCGTAATGTTTTATAAGTGTAAGATAATTGACTTTAATAAGTCTTATTTTCGAACTTTAAATGGTTAACTGAAATTTTCCAAGTTCACGTATCCCGAGCCTCGTTATCCTTTCCCAATATATATTTATATTTGATCTATTCCCCCTCATTCTTCTATAATTCTATGCAAAATGGTTAACAAAAAAAAAAAAAAAAAAAAAAAAAAAAAAAAAAAACAATTATTATCTCATGAAAATGTTCGTCTTTACGAAGCAATTGTGAGCCACTATGTATTTTAATCTTATTCGGATCGGGGGATGTATGGGCGTGGAAGATGAAATACGATTGCTGCAGTACCGTAAGGTCTTAAATTGGCTTCGAGTATAGGCAAATGGTAATGCACTTTACTCACTATATCGGATACCTCACTATATCTTCTGTATCGGCGCTGATTTGTCAACGTTAAGCCAAATCTTAAAATCTCTGAGTAATGCCAAGAGGGTTTGTTGAAAGGATTCGACGGGGTTTCTACGTACATAATTTATTACCTTCTACTCGACTTTCTATAAGCTTAAAAGGACATATATTTTAGATATTCTTCACATATTGTTAATTTCAATGCTTAGGTATGCCATTTTTCTTAACAACGCGTAGATATTGACTATGAAGATCAATAATTTTTGCGACATCGATAATTTTGGCAGACTTCTTACATTCTAATAAATATTTATTAAGTTTATTAAGAAAACAAATCGAAATTACAAAGAATTTTATATAATAAATTTATTTAGTTTTCACACGCATATACATATATACATATATATATATATATATATATATATATATATATATATAAGAACGTATATTATCATGAAACGCGTGTTGGCACTAAAATACTACGAGAAATTTAATAAACTTTAAAAGAATTAAAGATTACATAGTTGGAGCTCCTATATCGATGAAATTTGTCATTCTTAAAATTCATTATAATGTCATATTAATTATGTCGATCGACAGATAAGTATTGAGTGAAGATGTAAAGTCTAAAATAGAAAAAGGATGTGATTTTAATTATTGAAAATGATCGACAATTGAAGGACGAAGATATACTGAGAGACGAGCAGCTGCTCGTCCTTTTGAAATTGTTTTACCTCTCTTTCGGATTATTTTCATTAATTTTGAAATAAAACGTACGTTAAAGTTACCTTCCTTCCATTCGGTTCCTCATACATTAAATAATTTTGCGGGAGTCGAAAATTTTGCAGCACGATGAAATAAATATACAAACAAATACGATTATTTAATTATCTTTCAATCGTCTTATTATATTATTATGACAAATAAATATCCGCAATCAAGAGTGAATTGCGCGTAATAAAAACGTAATAATAATATTTATTTTTTCTTACATAAGAATTGAATTTATATGAAAAGCAGGTTTCAGGCTTCTGTTACGGAAGTTGTGTACGCTAGAAGAAGAGTGAGTATTTCAGTCGTATTTACTCCGCAAGCTTAATAATATGTACACGAGCATTTTAAATGCACATGCACGTGTTTGTAAACTGAATACGTATATTTAAAAAATAGCCGTAGAAATTATTAAAACAAATTATAATTTTGGTTCTAAGCGTTAAAAATACAAAAAAAAAAAAAAAAAAAAAAATTAATGCAATTTGAAGTACCGGGCATTCAGAGAAATTGTTGTATGTATTGTAATGATAACAGATATTACATAAATAACAACTGAGACACTAATTTTATATTAGCAATATGCAAATATTGAAATATTATTTTAATTATTTTAATTTTGTTTGAAAATTAAACGCGATACCTTACGTATTTCAATATTACAGGCAGACATTTATTGTTTGCCGATAAAGGTTTATTAACCATTAACACTGCAAGTTATTCTAAACTTGAAAAGAAAAAAGAAAAAAGAGAGACATAATTGTAAGGCGTAAAGAATTATGATTTTTTTTCTTCTTCTTCGTTTTGTTAACGATGTATCTTAGCCAATGCAAGTATTGATCAAGATAACTAGAAACGTACATTAAATATTGATTCTGCATTGATAAAAGTTACCTTAACCACATCATTCTCAAATATCTTAATTATTCAAACGATATCGAATACCAATTTATGTTAAATCATTAATCGGTTAATATAATTGGTAATTGTTATAATTGGTACGTTGCATTGCAAAGATAATGAACGAGCTTGTAATATTAAGTACAAATTCATCTTTTCATTTATTGAGAATACGAATTTTAAATCATATGATCCATCATATGACATTATCTATCTGAACCTGAAATTGAAAAATCGAGCATTAAGCCATTTAAGTTTATGGATGCAATAAATTGCGAAGAATGAATCTAAATTACCCTACGTACTTTACTACTTACCTGGTAAGTGGAGTATCTCAACGAAAGATAAAAGGTAAAAGAGAAAAAAAGAGAGAGATAAAAAGAAGAAAAAAAAAACCGTTTAAATAGTCTGGCCTTGAACTGCGTAATTACAACATGACTTCGCTTAGCGGACAGACGAGCCGCGACGCAAACCCTCACCAATCCCGTGGGAAGGTTCTCAGGTAGAAACATGGCCGTGTGTACGTGCATGCGCACACAAACATTGCATTCCGGTCTACCGAGGTCGGCATACCAAACTAAACAATTGGACCGACTGTAAAACACTTTAACAACGACTCTTATTATGAGTGTATACCATCCAAATACCCAACTAAATACTAATTTAACATGTCCACTAGGATCTTTTTATATTTACCATCGACAGCTTTTCATGTATCCTTTCGTCTTATCTTTACAGATGAGGCAACATCACAGGCATTTTCGGGCTATCGTCCTCATTTGTATTTTCCTGCTCCATCATCAAACACTCGCCAGTCCTGTTTTTGGCCCGCAGTTCCTTACCGGAGGTGAGTTCTGCATTTTATTTTACTACAAATACTCACTGTACCGTTACTTAATTCAACATTGAGCGACAAACGAAAGTGCGTAATTCGACTACTCTGCACTCGATAATACATCCTGAAAATATATAATATCGCTTTACTACAAGCCACTGAATTTTTACTAAACTAACTGAAATGTCTGATATTTATGATTTACACGTTAAACAAACAAAATGTAGAATTCAAAGTTACGCGTTTGTTTTAAGAAACATCCCACCAGAGGAACCCTGAACACACGAAACCGTTATAGAGAATGTACGAAAGCTTGTGTATTACTATTACAGTTTGAACGACTTTGTTTTTCTAAACTGACATAACGCAAGCGAGTGTTCATGTATTTATAGAAGAGAAAGAAAGAAGAACAAAACAATGATACTTACAACAATATTTCTTATTTATATAAAGTAATGTGCAGTTTGTTGTCGATGGTTAATTTAAGTAAAGCATTCCTGTATATCATTCCTGCATATCTTAATAATTTTTTTTACAATAGTTTAATAAACAATCTTTTTTTTTTTTTTTTTTTTTTTTTTTTTTATATTTAAGACAAGTATTTTATTTAACTTTATAAATTCCTTTTGTATGCTAGCAAATAAATAATATATATAATCTATCATATCTACGAATACTATATATAGGTATAATGGATCTCTGGTTGACCTCTACGAATTTATATTTTGAATAGGCTGAAATAATAATAATAATTATCATGATAATGTTCATACAAAAATATAAGATTACATTATAATATACTCGTATGTAATACACTTTTCATTTATTTATTTTTTATTTATTTTTTTTTCGTAATGATTGTATTACAATTTTATTGTATTGATAAATGAAATGATAAATAATGAAATAAATGAAATGATTGTAACAGTGAAAATTGTTAACAATAAAATTCTACGATTTATTAATAAATTTCTTAAAAAAAAAAAAAAAAAAAAAGCCAGTGTCTCGCGTTGGGGACACTTATCATTATAACGTGGGAGCGTATTTAAAATATCGTCGAAAAATAAAGAAGAATGGTTTTTATTCTAATAATAGTTGATAATTAATTTCTAAAGACTCGTAATATTTACGCGAGTGTACGCAAAGTGCACATAGACTAAATCACTCCTTTCCCTTCACCCTATCGTACTGCAAGTCGACTGCGCGCGCACTCAAGCTGTCTGTCGTTAAACATACAAAAAAAAATTGCTAAATGCCAGGATATTATTATTATTATTATTATTATTATTATTATTATTATTATTATTATTAACAATTGACATTGGCGATGGAAAATCGCCACACAAGTAACCGCGCACAGCCGGCGTCTTCTGGCTATTATGACGTCCCTGTCAAATCGTTACAATGTTGTTGTACCTTCCATGTAAAATATAATGCCTCCCGTAAAAGTGTCGCGCGCCCAGTATTACAGTGCGCGTTTATGTGTCGAGAGCAAAAAGGAAATTCCGTGCATACGAGTGGGCGAGGACGGCCGCGACATTGACCCCTGGCGACGTCAAAGTGGGCGGACCAGTCAGTTTAACATGATCCATAAGTGGGTCAGCAGCGGCGCGGCGAGTGCTCACTCGGCTTGGATAAACACGTGGTTCGCCTCTGGCTGAGCCTCGTTCTTTATTGCTGATAACCATAAATTTACTTGGGAACGAAGTTCGAGAAATGGCCGAACGTAGCGTACCGTATTCTTCTTCTCTTATGCTTAATCGTTCGTTTTAATGGCTCGACAGGCAGATAAAAGTATAATGCGAGCATGGATAATGATATTGAAAGAGTTTTGAAATGCGTTACTGCTACTACTGCTTTGGTTAATACATTTCGCGACCTTATCGTTGTCATTATGTTCTTAAAACGAGGATGCCAGTAGGTAAATAATACATGGACTTTTGTTGGAAGAAGGAAAAGAAAAATTTGTAAAAATCAACGAGAAGCGAACGAAAAAGTTTTAGAAAAAAAAAATTAAAAGAACTCGTATATTAGTATGTATTTATGGGCTATTTACTTCTCATATTTGTCAAATATTAAAAAAAAAAACATTAACAAAATCAATCGAGTCTCTTTAAACGATTACGCGGGTAGTCGAGAGCAGACAATTTCCTAACTCCCATCAAACCAAAAATTTAATAAAAAAGTTTACTACACTTTCCCTTCCCTTATAAAGAAATATACGAATGATCGTGAACGATGCAAAATTTGTATATATTTCCCTTATGTTTATAATATTAAACATTTATAAACAAAAATAATCTCTAAATACACTCTTTTCAGCATTGTTACGTTATCTTCTATGTTCTATATTCTTGCCAAGTGATTTTGTCCTGTTTTTTGTTTTTTAAAGGCGCTTGTCTCAACATTGAAATCCTTTTAATCTCCGTCTCTAAATTAACGGAGATAACGGTTCTAACTGTGTATAATAGTGAAATACAAAGTCCATTCGTTGAATTTGGATGCTAGTTGAAAAGAATACTTAGAACGTCAGAGATTAAGCAAACTTAAACTTTCTTTTTTTGTCCTTTGCATTAATTACTAAGGCATTAATCTTACGTATGACTAATATTATTTGCAAATAAATGTCAATTATAAATACTATTTGACAAAATTTTATTCATCTAATTATTATCTTGTATTAATTAAAATATATACATAAATAAATATATATATATATATATATATATATATATATAATTAACAATATATTATTGTTCTTTACGCTGCAGGTATTGAAAGCTTGAATTCTTTGAATTTCATGATTTGTTTTATATAATCATTTATTTTCAATATAATGACGCAACCTAGAGTGCATATAATTTATTTGATAAATTATTGTATTATTGATAAATTAATTTCCATTTTGTATGAAAGCATATAATTATAAAACATTTGTTTTCGATATTTGCAATTAAATTTGAAATATTTTACGAAAAAATTGTCATTTCTTAACATTCAATGGCAAACTTAATTTTATTTTAATAATAAGATACAATAACGAGGGCAACCTATTGAATTAGGAAATTATCAAAAATTGATAAACACAGGTTTTTTTTTTAACAAAATATTTCCATTATTTAAAAATAAAAGCAGTGTAGTTGTAGTAAGTGAAAAAACAAAAAAAAATTCTCCGTCCTTAAAATAGTTGCCTGCGTGTATTTATGAACCTGTTACATGGTTCTAAAAAATTGTATAACTATCTTCTCTGATTATTATTTAATTATCCTCCAAATTTGTCAATAAGAACAATTGATTGCTTAACCATACTAGTATTATATTCTCAGACATTACAATGTTTATTGCACGTTTATGTAAAGATATCATACACGAATCTCCTTACTATCACCTTACTCACTGATCAATACAAATGTAATATTAAAAAAAGATTTTTTAAACTTAACAACTATTTCGGTATTACACGGGGGTTTTTTTTATTCTTATGTTTTGTAATATATACCTGAAATGTGAAAATGTGAAGATGTCGAAATGTAAAGAAGAAGCTTTATTATTTAATATCTTGTCGAGTATAATGAAAAGGAGATTTAAATAGCGCAGGACAGTGTTTTCCTCCAAACGTATTACGCTACTTACTAGCTTCGAGAATTTTATTTTCACTCGATTACTTTTAATCCTACCTTAATGATGCAAATAAATAGCAAAATAATTCTTGATAATAAAATGTCTACCAAACTCTTCTTCTTTTTTTTTTTTTCTTCGTCGTTTCATTTACATATTTTTAATTACAATCGGTTATAGTTGGTCTAACTTTTTCAGTGTAACAGGATTACGTCAAAGCGCTAAGGTGAAATGCGCAAAAAAAAATAAGAATATTTTGTTTAATCAATGTTGTCGACATAAATAATTTCACAGACCCTTGATTGCATTTTTAATTTAATAACGATGCATGCAAATATCAATTTGAATATCTTTACTGTCAAGCGAACATAATTTTACTGGAGCTATGCAGAAATTAGCATAAGCTTTAATAAAGTTGAATGGTAAAATGAATGATGGTAGTTGACAGCGCGGATGTCAATTATAAATAAGAGTGACCATAATGATATACATATACATACTTTCTATGAGATAAAAATAAAAAGTATAAAATTTTCGTGTAAAATTAAATTTTTATTATGTAACGATGTAATTAAAATATCTGCCTTAACTATGAATCTTTTGTAACGAGGAAATAAGCTAACGAAGGCTTTTTTTCTGTTTTTTTTTTTTTTTTGTTATATATATATATTGATTGATTGATTGATTGATTGATTGAAAACAAGCAAAATTAATGATAAAACTGTCGAATGGCTCATACAAATGCAAAGTATGTCGACAGATTAAAAAAAAAAAAAACAGAAAAAAACAGAAAAAAGTTTGTAAGAGTATGTCGCGGAAAAGCTTTTAAACGGAGAAATGTTTATCCAATCTCTTACGACACTTCCTTACATTAAGAGTTAAGCATGCAAGCTTTTAAGTAACGGAACATAAAAGGATATTCATTTCGCTCTGGGATCCCCCAACTAAGAAAAGTATTAAGTAGAGTGCAGATGACAGTGGAATTGTATGTTAGTAACATTCCACTTGTGCTTGATTTTTCCACTTGACAACGCCCGCCACGCTATACTTTCTTCCCCCATGTGATTCATACGACACTTCCGCCAGCATACATTCTTTGCATGCGAAATCAAAAAAAAAAGATTTTCGGGTGCTTAGTAGGTGCTGACCAACTAACCTCGAATCGCATTACAGTGAATGTATTTCGATATGAAATAAGAAAAACTGTTAGATTTTATAATTTTTCTACGAAGTGCATCAAGCATTAACATAATTTCACGAACATTTTGCTTGTCACATTCTTTTGCACCATATTCCTAATCATGATATATTCTAATAATTGCACTTTCTTTGATTTAATTGAACTTTAGACAAATTGATATTGCATATGAAATTTGAAAGGATTAGTTTTTAGAATAAATGATTAAAAATATTCAAGCAACTGGTCACTTCAGCTATTTAAAATTCTTAATTCGCTTTAAGTCGTAACATTTGCTATTGAGAGAGTAACGAATGATTTAAATATTTTTGTAACTTTATTGTTGTTGGGAATTTAACGGGTGGAGGGGGGGGGGGATCTGTAAATTTAATCAAAGAAACCATTATTAGATTGTTAATTATTTGAAACTTTATGATCTAAGCGAATGAAAAATATTTTCCAATATCGTGCACGATGTATGTTAAACTAAAAATAACTTTCATTTAACGGTTTATGTATGCATAATGCACGAATAAATTCAGGTAAAATTATGTCTTAATTCCAATTTATTCCTAATTGAAAGATTTATCTTAATACGAAACTTCTAATATTTTATATACGCTCCAAGGTAATTTATTTTACAGCTATTCAATTTATAAAACTTATATTATGCGTAGAGTTGGCATACACATGTGATTGAATAAAAGAGATAAATTTTCAACTGGAAGCAGCGGAATATTTAATTTATAACGCATATTTCTAATGAAAACGATGAAAAAGACGGATACTAACTAGCAGATACTATATAAATTCATTTTAATATCAATGTGAAGCGAGAGGAAATTTCGTAGTGCGCATAAATATTTCGATAATAACGTCAACGGATAGTTATCATTTTAATTATGAAAAGTCAATTACGATAATTCTCTTGCGATAAATTGGAAAAATAAAATAAAAGAAATTTACTTGCTTGACCTAATATTTACTTATTCGATCTTTCTACTTTGATTACGATCATTCGCTGCCGTCTTCAAGCCAATGAATGATACATCTTACAATGGTGAGTGATATCGCCCGATAATTAGCGATTCCAAAGCCTTCGGAATTTGAAAAACAACTCACCCGCAAAATCTCAATTCCCGTACGATTAAACAAAACGATCGCAAGTGAAAAGCGACTTGTTGTTTTAAAATTCGATTCCCAAGCTTATTAACGCATTGATTGTGATTATGCGGCATTGCAAATACAATCGAGAAAGATAAATAAATGTTCAGGGTTAGAATTCATGCGTAAAGCCTAGGTTAAAATAGGAATCGTTATGCACTGACTCGTGTAAAATGATCCAAAGCGACGACGAGGCATTCGTTCGACTTGGATTTTGATGGCAGAGGTTAATTAAGAATTAAGATATATCACATTTGCCGCTGTGAAGATTTAAGTGAGCGCAAAAAAGTCCACTGAAATGATTATAAATCTTAACGAAAAAATGATGGGAAATTACGAGGAGGTGACTAATGGCTAAATAAAATAATGCTTTGGAAAAACATTAGGCTCAGCTGTTGCTGTTGACCTACTTTTATAGGCGGCCAACTGGCTCATGCATCGTAACTTAACGGTACCCCGATCCCGGCTTCTGGCTAACATTAATTCGCTCCTCCACAGACAGTGAATGGAACGACTCCTTAAACTTATCGCAACATTGCTTTTAAAAGTAACATCAATAGCTAGTGTGGATAAATAATCTGCCGATTTCTTATTAGATACGCTGGCATTTCGGATTAATTACGAAAATTCGTTTCACTCGGACTCTTGTGGAAGTCACGGAAACGTATGCGTCTTCAGTTAATCAACATTTGCCAAAAAAGCCAAAAGCAATATTCGACATGTACAAAAAAGGAATAAAGTAACATTTGCATCATTATCTCTCAACGCTATTTAGAATTATTATTATTATCCGTGCGTATAGTGCTTGAGCAAATGTATTTCACATTTCAATCTTAACAGTAATTGGTATCGTTACCTTAAAACTGTGTATTTCAACGAATATTATCAACAATATACAACAAAAACAACACCAAAAAAAAAAAAAAAAAATAAAAAACAACTCCAAACACTTGTGTGTCTAGCTTTCAATGATATCCGATATCGATATTTTTTTAAGGAAACAAGAAATTGCAGAGAAAATTCAATTAAAGTAGCTTAAAACAAAGAAATATATATTTTTCACAACAAAATCTGTGCCACGCAAACATATGTTCATACTTAACGTGGAGACGAATTAGATTGCAATTAATGAGCTTATGTAAGTGTAAGTATTGGTAAAACGTGATTTTAGTGTAAATTGATATTTTATACAGTTACCATTTCCATCATAAACATCTCTTAATTAGCTTCTCTTCACTGCATATGTGCACATGATATATTACATTATAGTAGTGAACAATTCTCCCCTCCCTTACCTCCCCCACCCCCATCCCCACCCCCAAATGTCATTTATTTTAATCAATTTTATTCACATGACAAAAAATGCATACTTGAACTTATACTCATAAAAATGTGTATTAAAATTAAAAAAACGTTCACTTATTATCATATATTTACAAAAAATATTACAATAAAATTGTGTATGTAAAATTGCTTTTATCGTTCAAAATATATACATTCAAAATTTTCTATAGTAAAATCACAATCTACGCACACGATTTATTCCATTAGAATCTGTTTAACATTGCAGTAATTACATTTCAAATGATTAGTATATATTTCAGTACATAAATGTAAATACGTGCCATTGTTTTATAAATAAAGTTTTATTATTTGGCCATAAACAAGCGTCTAATATTATTTTTAACAAAGCTTAATTATTTACTAATTTTACGTAGCATATAGTTTGAAAAAAAATATCATTTTTGTTATACTTAGTCAACAAATATAGTTAACAAACAAATATATATATATATATATATATATAAAGCTTATAATGATTGAAAGAAATAAAAATTTTCCACAAAATCGAGGAAATCAATATACTTTTTTGTTGTTGTTGTAATTATCTCTATCGCTCGTTAATAATCTAAAATAACATAATAATAATATAATCAGAATTTTTTTTTTTTTTTTTTTTGATTTTTTTTTTATGACTATTTAACTAACGTTAAAACTCGCGTAAGGTATGGCTGTTTTAATCAATTAAATTCGTTAGTTAGTATAAAGTTATTAATGGCTCATAACTTAACTCTACGTTGTATCATAATAGGACAAATCTAACATTCACTATTGTTAATCGTTAGATAATTTTCATACGAAAAAAAAAGTATAACTCGATGTATTGAAATCCTAGCCAAAAATTATACACGATCAGCTACGTACTGATAAATTATCAATATTTAACAAGGCTTGTAATTTGAATGAAATTTGTTTAACTAAGAATATCCCCGCGGCTAGATCGTTTACAAATTTAAATAATACAAAATTTTAAATAATGTTACTAAATCGTTCGAGATTATGTATCATGCTGTATACAAAAATATCTGCACGTAATTCATTAATATTTTTGTAAATATACATGATCTCTCTCTCTCTCTCTCTCTCTCTCACACACACACACACACACACACACACACACACGATTTATTATTGATAATTTGATAAATTGTTTAAAAAGCATAATGAAGACATTATAGTTAAATTTAAATTTATTTTAATGCTTGTTAAGAGGCATTGTTCCGTTATTTGTGAAATTAAAAGAAATACAAAGAAATCGATTCAGGTAGATTTAAATTTATAATAATTTATATGCTAATGGGCATTTTAATCAACAATAACAGTGTCGATTTCAATTAAGAATTAAAATCATAAATCACCGAAGCCCAATGGATATCCAATTGTACTACCACTCACTATTATTATCTTTTCAATAGCTAATTCGTGTTTTTATTTCTTTTTATTCAGGGACTGGAAGGAACATCAGGCATCTGCCATGTGTGTCACGGCGCACAGGTGAAACTGGAATATGCATGTTCGCATTTACTTGTGCCAAGGCGAATGGCACGCATCTAGGCACCTGTATCGATCGCTTTTATTTCGGCAGCTGCTGTAGGATCGATAGCGAGCCCGATATCTTCACTCAGGACAATACAATTGACATCGACAATCCGCTCTCGATATCAAAGCCATTCGCCACGACTACGACTATCCACACGTTCGAGAGCAATGACATTCCGGGAAATGTGGACAAGCCAAAGCCTTCAACGAGGCCGGCGATTAGCGCTACTACCGTATCTTCCGTGACAATAGTGACGGACAGCACAACGGTTAAACTTGCCAATCAGACGAAAGTGAAACCCTCGAAGATTGGGACGAAGAAACCAATCGCTATCGAATCGACGACGGAATCCATAAGACTATCAACGTTTCAGACGGTGCAAAATGCATCGGAACAGAGGCCGACCGTCTCACCAACTACTCCCATTACTTCGACGTCGAGGCGGCCACAGAGACCGAATATTTCTAATTTTAAACCAGTAACTTCAAAGCCAAAGCCAACTTCCTCAACTCCCGCACATCCTCCATGGACGTCGAATAGTGCGAGTGCAACAAATTCCACTAACTCTTCGACATCGGCATTTCCCATATCATCAAGGCCTTCCCAGCGCCCCATTACGTCCACGCCAGCTATTAATTATAGTATTGTTAGCAAGAAACCTTACACGACCGCGGGACACACTCGAAGGCCCATTTTGACATTTGGAAGCACGATAAAACTCGAGTACTCCGGTACCACGAAACCTAACTTGCCAACAACTCGACGGAACGCTACTACGACCAGCACTACCGTATCGCTGACTAATAAAACATCGATACTGGAAGATTCCGGACCCGTTACAATCCCAAATCTGCCGACCGTATCAAAAATCCCTTCGGCGACAAGATTTCCACCTAGAAACGTGACTGCGTCAATTACGACGTTTGTAACCGAGTTCACTAGTCAGCCGATTTCTACTACCGCAACGAGCGTAACTTTCAAGGATCCCGACCCAACGACAAAGCCATTGACCACGAGAAAACCCATCACCACAAAAAAACCTATTAAATATACGACAAAGCGACCAATAGTCTCGAAAAAGCCTCCGACGTCTTCGATTACAACAAGACGGCCTGCATTAACGACGAATGTTGTATCCACTACGCCTGCTTCTACGAAAATAACGATTTTAAATTCAACTTCGACAACTACGAAAGCCACCATTCCTTCGTCTATCGTAACTAGCAGTAGTACATCTACAAGCACAATTATAAATCCAACTAAAAAACCCTTAACTATACCGCCTATTAAAAGAACTACTACAAAAAGACCCGTAATAACAACCTCGCCGAGAGCCACGACGACCAGCAGGAGACCAACAATCGCATCGACCATCAAACGGCCAATAATTACAGTTTCTAAAAAAAATATAACAAGCTCGGCCTCGGCTCTCGAAAGCACAACTTCATTTAAGCCCGCGAATGTTACTAAAACGACAGCGACAACGACAACGTCGCCGCCTCCATCGTCCAAAGCCACCTCGCGTCCGCATATTGATTTTACAACCGATAAGCCCACTACGTTAAAAATTACCAGCAGTACGACATTGAGCTCGAACGAAACGGCAAACCCTATTAAGTATACCGTATCAACAGGTGCTTTAACTACCTCGTCGAACACCACCACCACCACCACCACCACCACCACCACCACCACGAGGATCACGACTCCCTCGACGACTACTACAACGAGCAAATCGACAACACCCCCTAGTACGTCTAACGATTCGATTACCAAACCATCTGGGCACATTCAAGTCACATCCGACGGTTTTGTAACGAGCAAAAAAAATGTAACTACATCACCGTGGAATGCTTCCACGGCGACAACAATGGCAAATGAAATCGACACGGAGCAAACAACAATGACACCAGGTATTGTTACTTGGATGTCGTTTCCCGATGATGTCGAGAGTGCAACTAAAAATCCGGACTTCTCGTCGATATTGCCAGGTAATTAAAAGATCACCGATCCTCCGATAAAAATAAAAGAACAAAAACAAACAAAAAAACAAAAATAACAAAACAAAAAAAAAACAAAAAAAAAAAACAAAAAAAAATAAAAACAAAAAAAAGAAAGCAAGAAAGAAAGAAAAACTAGGGATAAAATTAAAACTTCAAAGCAAACGAGTCGCAATATTATTGGGCCGGGACGTCGTAACGGTTTTACAATCCACCGTAAACTCTCTTTCTTATTCCCCTTTTCTTTTTTTCTCCCTTAGGCGCTATCTTCCTCGTCCTCATAAATATCTGCATCTCCGTTCTCTTCTTCAACTGTCCCTATCTTACTTTATACTCTTTTCACCATTTTATTCGCGATAATTTTGCAGCATTCCTAAGTTAATTGTATAGCTATCACTGCTCAACAACGTTTTTCGCAATAACTTCAATCCTCCCGAGAGATGTAAGATTGGCATTCTTTGAGCTTGATGGAAAAAACTTAATTGGTATCTGTGCGCGGGAAAATTTGTAAAAATCCATAGCATTAGAGCCGAAAAGATTGTTCGAAATAATTTTACAGTAATTTATTGTAATTGTAAGCGTGAACTTGAAAGATAATATTTTTGTCGAAAAAAAAAGAACACTTCAAACGTTCGAAGAAACATTCGGAAATTTTCAACGATTCAATAACACCGGCAATTGCATTCTTTTCCTTATAATACTCGCTACATCTTCTGGCTAAGAAGAAAATTAATTGATATGTGTACTTTAAGAGGACACATAACATTTTCAAACAATTTTCAACGAATAAACTTTCATCATCATCTACAAGTAAATATTTGGAAAATCTACATGTCCTATAATCAAGTCCACTTTTATGTCTGTCTCTGTCTCCCTCACTGTCTTGTATCGGTAATTTCAATACCACAATTCTTGAAACAAAAAAAAAATAAAAACGAAAAATCAAAACAAAAACAAAAACAAAAACACGGATGAAGAAAATTCGAGAAAATTCTATTTTCAAATTTTAGAAACAACTGAAACTGATTGGACACCTATCACGACTCCCGATGGCTGGATAATAATACAATCACCGACCACCGATAACTTCGATTCCGAAGTGCATTTGGATGTAAAACCGGTCACAGCCACGACACAAGTTCCCCTTATCTTGGGTAAAAATCTACCGTAAAATTGTAAATGTAATTACATTAATTGATGAGCAATACTTTCATCACATTAATGAAAATTACATGTCATTTACGTGACATCACCGGACTTGTCAGTCCCATAATTTACGATTCATTTTGACGTAAACTTTATTTTTAAGAAAATTTACATTTTCGTTTTATTTCGTTCGAAAGTAGTATTCAAAAAAAAAAAAAAAAAAAAAAAAAAAAAAAAAAAAATAATGACGACCAATTCAAAGATATTAGACAAATTGTATATTATATCGTCGGTAAGCAATAATATAATTACTAAATGATTTCTGTCTAACTGGAACGTGAAATTACGAACTATCTTATTTTCGATAATTTTTTCAAAGAGGAAAGAAGATAGTAGTAGTAGTAGTAGTAGTAGTAGTGAAGATGTTTTCATAAGTGAAATATGCTTACTCAAAATTTAAAAAATCGATATACAATATTTACAATGTTCACGTGATATTATAAATACATAAAAGCCTGCTCACGGACATTAATTATCAATCTTATAGATTCGTTAAATAGCTTTCATTGTTGTTTTTTCTTTCTTTTTTATTTTAGGTAAGCCGACAACGGACAGTACAACAACAAAACGAACAACGTCAACGACAACTCAACCGACTACCACCACCCAATCAACGACGTACGTCGATATGCTATCGACTATAGCATCCGTCACGATAACTTCTGCATTTACGGAAACCCCTTCGGCCCCCTTGAACATGTCAAATTTCAAAGACGGTAGGTGTAGCATGAAGTTATGTTAAGCCTTTTTTGTTTTTGTTTTTTTTTTTTTGTTATTCATTGAAAAACATAAAATTGTATTTGGTTAAAACGCATAGCTACTCAATGCCAAAGATCCTTGGTTTGTTCAGCGTAGCAATTAATAGCTTCGCGTCAATTACATATCATTCATGAAACTTAAATAAATAATTTTCATCATTAATCGCAGCTCTTTATATTCACATATCTAATGAATATTCGGTAATAAATAAACTATTGCGCGTACAAAGAACTCATTGGCCTTTATTGTAGTAGTAATATCAAAGGTAAACACTCAATCGTTTTCTATCACTTCATTATGCATTCTTTATAATTATCAATAATCAAAGACAATCGCTTTAAAATAATGCTAAGACGAGGCAGATATTTTATAATCAGCGCTTTAAAGCTTAATTTCAACTGTATTTTTTCATCATTCGATTACATTTATACAGTTGGTTGATCTAATTAATCCATGCATCTAGATTTTGTATTTTGTATAAGCAAAAGCAAAGTGTCCGTCATCTTCATTGAGCATCAAATTGCACGATAAATATCAAAAGTAATGTACTTTTGTACATCATCGATCACGTGGGAGCGATAATTTGTTGCCCTGATAATTAAAAAAAAAAAAAAAAAAAAAAAAAAAAAAAAAAAACCACAATTTCTTGTAAAATAGAAAAATTAGGATTTCGACCTATGGATGATATTTTTCATTTCATATTCATCTCAACGATTATATCAATGACATTATATTAAATAAATAATTGTGTAATCAATCGGTGTACTTATTGTCAATGCTTATATTCAACCAGTGAAAAGCAACGCTGAATAATGTCTTCTAATGCCATTAAACGTGAGTTTCACGCAAGATTATTAACGGAAACGATCTGTATTCGTGAATTCGGGAAAATGAGTGAAAAATGACATTTGTAATGATGACGGGTAAAAATGGCTGCATAAAGCAAAACAAACAAAATGAAACGAAAATTACCGCGAATCCAGACGATAAAAAAGAAGGGAAAAGGTAATGATGATACCGGTTCTACTCGCTCGATCCCCGATGTCTAACTATATGGCGGCACATGTTCGCCAATATGGCCGCCGTGATGAGACACGCGAATCTGCTCAAAGGCATGAACTCGACAATGTTTATACTTGCAGTTTGCGGGAGACGACTATTCCCGGAGTCCAGGATCGTCGGTGGCGACGGAAGTTCCTTCGGCAAGTGGCCTTGGCAGGTAAACGAACATAATTAAGTTTCTTTTAACCCAATCAATCGTCAATTATTGAAGCTCCTATACGCGCGCTCAAATGTATCCGCAATTTTTCATACTCTGGCAATGGGATTTATAATGGAAACTTTTTTTTTTTTAAATAATCTTCCAATTAATTAGTTTACTCGGATGGAGATGATACCGTTATTAACTCAATAGTGTTGTAAGTGACAAATTCATAGCAGACGCGTGCCGATCTCGTGAAATCGTCATAAATTGCTATTAAGTGCAAGAAAACTATAAGTGTATCGCCGACATAAGCTTATAATGAACTTTCGATGATAAATTTACAAATAAGAAATATAAAATTTATAAATTTCTATGATAGCTTTATCGTAAATTCTTTTAATCTTTAAGAATTACTGTAATTTGAAGAAAGTAGCGAGCAAATTTTACCATTAGTAAACATATTATTTGTCTATACGTGTTTTCTCGTTATGATAAAAATAGCAAACGAGCGCTCATTGAATACGCGGGTGAACAGTGAACAACAACAACAACAACAATAATAATAATAATAATAATAATAATAATAATAATAATAATAGTAATAGTAATAGTAATATCGATGAAGGACGCGTGTGTAATAAACGCCGCTAAATTAATGTTAAAGTGCGAAAGGTCGGAATTGGTGCAACATATAATCGCTTGTATAAATTCTTCACGAAGGAGGGCGGGAGGGAGGACGGGGTGGGGGAACGAAGTAACAAGGCTTATTAGCAATGAAATATCCTCGTTGTATTTTCTTCGTACGTATAGGCTATGGATATATATGTATATGTATATGTATATGTATATATATATATATATATATATATATATATATTTATATAACACTGTTTAACTTTGCCACGTAAGATCGCCGAGTCGTCGCATCTCGCTTCCTTTCCTTTAATTAATTGTCTCGGCGTGCGTGAGTCAGTCATCTCTTAAGGCCGAACATTTTCTTTTTCTATTTTTACCGCCACCAAAGGTCACGTTCTAATTACATTTTAGATCTCGCTCCGGCAATGGCGAACCTCGACGTACCTGCACAAGTGCGGGGCCGCCCTGCTGAACGAAAACTGGGCCATCACCGCAGCCCACTGCGTCCAGAAGTTCGTAGGAATCTCGATCGACTCTTAATATAGACGATCATCCCGTCATTATTAATTGCTCTTTCATTTTTAGCGTACTGCCGAGCGACCTCCTCCTGCGAATCGGCGAGCACGATCTGAGTAACGAGGAAGAGCCTTACAGTTTCCAGGAGCGCCGAGTGCAAATTGTCGCGAGCCATCCCAACTTCGATCCTCGCACGTTCGAGTTCGATTTGGCTCTGATGCGCTTCTACGAGCCGGTGCTGCCCTTCCAGCCCAACGTCTTGCCGATCTGCGTTCCCGACGACGACGAGGACTACGTCGGTCAGACGGCCTTCGTCACTGGCTGGGGCAGACTTTACGAAGGTGAGTTCCCGTCCCGATCCATCACACCACCAGAAACCAAAATGCCAACTTGATTTGCGCAGATGGACCGCTGCCGTCGGTACTGCAGGAGGTTGCCGTACCGGTGATAAATAATTCGGTTTGCGAGGGCATGTACAGGAACGCTGGCTACATCGAGCACATACCTCACATATTCATTTGTGCCGGCTGGCGAAAAGGAGGATTCGATTCCTGCGAGGTAATATTGCCTTTCAATAATCCTCGACCATAACTTTTAACGCTGCGCAAGCGCGCGTCGGACTTTTGAGAACGTTGATTTTTTTTTTCTCAGCTGCTTGACACGTATGATCAATCATACGGTCAAAGACGGTCGTCTTACTGATCGTGCGCGCTTTCGCGAGTACGAGCGCCTGTCTCGTCCATGCAAATTATTATTCGAATGTTCCACCTATCCTTTCAATGCATCGTCGATAGATATTTTCACGTTAAGTAGCACGCACGAGTCACATCGATCATTTTAAAGTCCGATAATAGACGAAAGACGGAAAGTAAATAAAAAGAAAAGAAAAGAGAAGAAAAAAAAAATCCTTATTTTTCAACGTGATAGTGAAAGAAAAGCCATTAGTCCTTGCACTAGAATTCCCAGGTACAACAAATCTTACCGATAGATATTAACGCGAGGGCCGACCGAAGCTCGTTCCTTTCCTCCGCGGCTCTTTCAGCTGGTATATAAATAAAAACAAAAGAGCAATAACGATAAAACGTACGTTTTACACAGGGCGACAGCGGTGGTCCTCTGGTAATCCAGAGAAAACGCGACAAGCGTTGGATTCTAGCCGGTGTCATCAGCTGGGGCATTGGTTGCGCGGAGCCAAATCAACCGGGAGTCTACACGCGAATCTCCGAGTTTCGCGAATGGATCAACCAAATTCTGCAATTCTGAGAATTGACGGTGAAGCATGGAAGACGCGTAGGTGCTGGATCTCTGGCGTCGCCTCTCGCTCTACGGACTTACGTCGTCCGATAATGTCCGATTGGCCGTGGAGTGAGTTAGCCCTCGTCTACTCACCCGTTAATTCTCGAATGTTTATAATAATCGATTATTGATAGTCAGCGAACGCACTTTATGCTACGATCCTTTCGACTTTTTTACTGGCGAACACCGACGTAAGATGTACTTATCTACCGACTAAGATGCGCAGTCGTTGTAGAGATTAGTTCAAAGTGAACGTGTGTAGGTGTTAGCAATTGGATGAAACGCTTCCCCCCCCCGTCCCCCGCCCCTCATATCTTTCTTTTGTTCAATTAAAGCATTGTGTAAATATGACTTTTAGTTATTGATGACGGATTTATTTGATGTAGTGGGGTGAAATTTAAAATTAAATTATTCTATGCAGCCTTATGTTTTTGCTTATTGTACGTCTCATTCCGAGCACTTACATAATTTACATAAAGTTTCTAGCAAAGTTGACTGTACTCAATGCAACATTGTTTCTCATTAACGCGCTCCTTTTTTTCCGTTCTTTTTTTTTTGTTCTTTCTTTCTTTCTTTCTTTCCTTTTTCTTTTAATATTTAAAAGCACTCTTAGTGATTATTAAGTAGTACGAACGTTAATTCGTATTTGGAAAAATAGATAAAAACGGAGCCTCCGACAAGGATTTTGTTGTAATTTTTGTATAATAAAATTAATATAATGTTTAATGCAGGGACTGTTGAATAGTAAAGGCAATTCGAGACGACGATTCACGAGCAAACTTCTTGCAAATAAAATAAAACAATACGTGCTAATACATAATTTTCAAGCATTTCATCGCAATCTAATAATCCGTACTATTTCAATGTTATCGTTAAACAAGCTAACGGTGCATTATATTATTTTGATGGAACAAACGATTAATCATTGAGGATTAGCTTTGATCGTTAAAAAGAACATGACCAACTTTCCTCAATTCATAATTCATTAACGAATTGACTCGCGAAGTCTCAAATTGCTCCTATCGATTCTTAACGGCCCACTGGCCCATGCCACACACAACGAGCCAACAGGTTCGTCATAATTTTATCCGAGACGAATTATCGTAGCGTTGGGTATTTTATTTATACATTTAATCGAGACAGCAAATAACGACAGATTTTATTAATGACTCTATGCAATGATTAGAGCATTGTACTCAGCTGGCCTCTATATTCTAAAGATTTGAAATCAATTTACGGAGCAAGTCTGGCGTTTAGCAATAATTTCGTAGCCCTGATCATTGCGAATCGGGGCGCCTTAATATTTATGCTCATTATTATATATTTAAATAAATAAGTTGCTTCCTGCAAACTAATAGTCTTTGATTACTCGTGAATATAAGCTGAAGCTCGAGAGGCGCTTTAAGAAAGATATTTTTTGTAAATGTCCATGCCAAAAATCATTATTCAAGATACTTCCGTTCGTTAATTTTTATCACAGTGAATGTATCTAAATTATACGATTCAACAATAAATATTATTATTTATAATTGTTATCGAATTTCCAATGCTTTAGAACTTTTAAAAGATTTCACTTGACTTGGCGCAATTATGGATAAAATCTAGAACGCCTAACAATTAATTGACAAAAAATGTTCATATATTGTTGAACAATTCGTTTTTAAAATATTTATAATTGAGATAATATATATATATATATATATCCTGCATTGAAAATTATTATTTAAAGCTTACTTTATGCTCAGAACGTTTTACACTTTTTATATTTACTGGAAATTTAGATGATTTGTTTGTGTATATTTGTATTAGTAAATTAAGCGTATGTAATTTATATTTAACTTTATGTATATTAAAAAAGGTAGATTATTAAAAAAAAAAATTTTTTTTTAAATTTTTTTTTCTCATTAATATATTTATGTAATAAATAATCGCATAACTTTTTTTATGTGGTTTCAACAAAATATATTTAAGACCAAGTTTTTGTTTTCGATTTTTAACACATCGATTGTACAGCGAACAAAGGTTTTGTATAGATGATATTAGAGAAATATAAGATAGAAAATACAAATTAATTACTTTTAATTTTAATTGTTCATAAATTAAGAATTTAGTTTTGAGTGAATTTTTATGTGTATGTGTGTACATGCGTATGTGTTTAACACTTGTAAAGTATACATTATTTTATACCTTATTCACAATTATAATCTTTAAAAATAAATCATTTTTCTTTAAATGTATAATTAACTTCATGTATAATTAACTTCATAGTAGCAAATATACAATTAATAAGTAGTGAAAAGTAGCAAATGATTTATTAATAAATTTTAAGTGCCTAAATTTTTGTAAATATATTTGTGAAATTATACAATTAATACATCATTTTCTGACTTTTTATTAATGATTTTTGTACACTTGAATATGATTACTTTCATCTCTGTCTGTCTGTCTGTCTGTCTCTCTCTCTCTCTCTCTCTCTCTCTCTCTCTCTCTCTCTCTTTCAATGACTTTTGTTCAGAATAATTCCGATATAATTATAAAATTATTCACGATCCAGTTGAATTCTAATTATACTGCACAATATTAAAAGGGTAAGCAATGCTTTTGAAATGAAATAAAAAAAAAAACTTAATGCTTATTTACGGCGTTAACATTAAGAGTTTACTTGTATTTGATATGTAAGATAAATAATTACTCAAAATTCCAATTAAAACTGAAAAAAATGTTTTCCATTTATACATATTTTCTAATTTACATGTGTGTTAAGTAAATATTTTACTTTCAACGTAGAATCAATAAAAAAAAAACAACGCGTACATCATATTAAAGGAATATTAAACTAATATTTTTTCAATGAACATTCTATTTTTTTTTTAATATTCTATTTCCGATCAAAACTAAATTAGCATATCGCCGATATTAGCGTTCCTGTAAATTCAATATCTGTTGTAAAACTTTTTTTTTTTAATATTCTATTTCCGATCAAAACTAAATTAGCATATCAAAATAAATTAGAACTTGAAAAATATTTAATTTTACTCTTATTCTTGCCATATTATTGAAAAATTGTATATATTCTCATTTTCACGATCATATATATTTTTAAAATTTAATAAAACTTATCAATTTTGGTTATTTAAATTTCTCTACGTACAGAGAATAACGAAAAATTTTAAAACTATAATAGTCTATTAAAATTAAAAAAAAATTCATTTTACATCCTTTTGTTTTTGTTATATATTTATATTATATTTATGTATCGAAATACATTGATTTATTTTGTCGTAAATTTTATAGACATAAGAATAATTATATAATAATTGTACATTGAAATTCATATTATATAGCTCGAAAAGTGAACTTTATCAATCTTTATTATAGATCTTTTTTTAATCATTCAAAAACAATTTCATAATAAATATATTCATCAACTATGCCATCCATTAATTGTGATTCATTCAAAAATTTTTTTAAAATTTTTGTCAATTTTAATTGTTTTTATTTTTCAGTTTTAACGAAATAAAATAGTATAAAAATAATATAATCTAAATTTTCAATTATAACGAATAAAATATTTTCATTTTTATCTTTTGTTTATCGAAATGATTATGGAATTTTATTGATATATTTAAACGAAGTTAATTTTTTTTATTAACTTTTTGTATCAAAGTGTACATAATTCATATTTAGAAAGATATTTTAAATCTCCAGCAACTAAATATGTATAATTTAATATTTTTATGCAAAAGCAAGTTTTGTTAGAACATCAATATGTTCATCATTTAAAATATATGTTAAATTTGTGCATTATATTTTGCATGTTTTGTCATTTTGTAAACGTTTTAATAACAACAAGCAATAGCATATAATTAATTAATTTATGTGGCGTATATACTTTATGCCATGTCAATATCTAATTAGCGCATTGTAAGCGTGACAAACTAAATTTTGAATAACCGCTATGAGAGAATTATGTAAATTATATTGATTGGGAATTTTTACATACAGTACTTTACAAATTTTCAATTTGATTATAGGACTTTATTTAACAAATTCTTAAATACAAATATAATTAATATATTTTTATAAGAGAATGAATGATTATTTCACTAAACGAAAATGTTTTTTCTTGAAAATTATAAAGTAGTGCAATGACTTAAGCAATAATATAGGTATTTTATATTTTAATTACAAATTAATTTATGCTATAACTTATTATATAAAAGAAAATATCTTGCTAAAAAATAATATTATTTAAAACACTCTTAAGCAATTATTTAACGAATAATTTTTAGGTATATTAATAAAAGAAAAAGTAACGCTTTTAAAATGTATAATTGCAAAGTAATATCATAAATAACCATAATATGATGTATTTATTATAATAAATTTAATAAACAAATCGACTATTACTTAACGATCAAATAGAATGTTTGAAAAGTTAAAATATATTGCATTGGATGAGGCTTAATGATATTATTTAACTATAGATAAAATAAGTTAATTTTACATGCAAGAATTTTTTATGTTAAGTGTCCATACGATCCTAAATGTTCACACAAGTCCGTAAAAACTAAATATCAATGTATTAAAAAAATTATTTCTTAAAACAATATTCATTGTTTTACTCTTTTTTTTTTTTTATATTATTTTTATTCTTAGCTTTATAAAGTAACCGTTGAAGCAGTGAGCATAACATTATAAAATATCTTTCAGAAAGAGTTAACTTAATTTACTCTCATTTTTTACATTATTTCGATTACGAGTAATTTCACGGTATTGAAGAAAAAAATATTGCTTTGTAATTATAGTCTTTTTTGTACATTAGTTATCAATATGAATTTTAATATTAATAGTTTCCATTTTTGTCTTGATATGCGCCATTCAGTAAGGTTAATACTATTAAGTTACATTATTAAACTAAATTTTATTCAAATATTTACAGTTATAGCGGAATATTTTATTCTAATCTAATATTGAACTTTAAAAACTGAAATTAATATTATATAAATTACTTTAAAATTGGAACAAAATATAATTAAATACTAAACAATAAATAAATTATAGGAATTAAAATTTGTATCAATATATTATTTAGAGAATTATAAATAAATAATCTCATGAAATATGTAACACTTTTTTTTTATTATAATGACACCTGGCATCTAAAAATTATATATATATTTTAGAAAATTGCAATAAGCAACGTAATAAATTTCGACAGATCAAACATATTTAACAAAATACCCTTGCTACCTTTACTGAGCTTGTAAACATTAGTTTTTATTAATTCTGTTTTCTCTGGTAGAAATAGATGTATTCTTTGTGGAAAATGTACATACATCATGCTGTAGATAAATAATATAAAAATAATTAATAAAACAAAGGATTTAATAAATAAAAGTTTTAATTTTTTTCTAAATATATTATTTGATGGAAACATGTCTGATTATTTGCTCTCTTCAAATTACTATAAACTTTATAATATTATATCATTATATCATTTCTAATTATATTGTTTTTTATTTGTAAAAAGATATTCTCTTAAAGGTATGATTTATTTTTTATTTATAAATAAAATAAATTATCCAACTAAGATATACCAAATCATTTTTGCTAAAATTAATAGTACACGATACAACTAATTGTTATTATTTCATGGTATACAATAAGACAGTAAATATATAAAAAAAATATTTTGGTCTGTTTAATTGTTCTGATACCACATTAATGTATGTATTAAATGCTATTTAATTGTAAAGAATAATAATTAGAATCTTTGTGTAACACAATTTATATATTATATTATTTGTGTAAAATTTTAGATAATGAATGTATATATTTCTAATTAATTTAATCACTTTTACAGTTTTATAGATATTTATTAAATTCAGTAATAAATATTATTTCCTCTTTTAAATTGATCGTTAAATTTTTTGTATAAAAAATTTTGTACTTTAGTGACTCGCTACATTTCTTCCATATCATTGAGTTATGATGCTATTATAAAATATTCAATTTAATACATTTAAAAAAATACTGGATAAACTATTACTCATTATATCATACATAAAACTTTACATTGATAATATAATAAATTATTGCTGTTTGCAATTTGTCTCCAATAATCAACATTAAATTAATATTTTTCCTTGATAGGCGATTGTTTTTTTTTTTTTTTTTTTTTTTTTTTTTTTTTTTTACTTATAAATCTGAAAGGAATAATTATTCTTGAGCATGCCTTTCAATAAGTTAAAAATATAATGACATTTATTGGTTTCAATACATCTAATAAATAAATTTAATCGGATATTTCTACGTTTGCCGTTCCACTTTTTCCTTCAAATAGTCAAAATAATATATAATAATTAAAAATTTACAGTTTTATTTAATTACTGTTCACAATAACATCTATTTTATTTAATAACATACAAATTACTATTAAACTTTGTTGTTAAATATTTTATTTTATTAATTAAATTAAATTCACCTAAAATGAAAAATATGTAATAGCTATGTTACATAATACCGTGCAAATTGCTATTAAATTTTGTTGTTAAATATTTTATTTTATTAATTACACTAATTGTAAACTTAAAATGAATGATATCATAAGGTATATTATTATATTCGATTATATCTCCTTTAAATTATTTTTACAATATACAGATAAATGCTCGAAAATATTATTGTTTATTTAATTATTTTTCATGGTATTAAATACATACTAATTTAAGAAATGGTATATCTACATTAGATAAAAAGTGTTTTTATTTTAAATAATAAAATAAACTAGTAAACAAATATCATATAAATAGAATTCCAATTATGGTCATAATAAATTATTTCTGAACTATATTATTATATGAAATGCGTAAATTAAGTCGCTAATTATTATAATTTGTAAATTCACATTACAGACATTTTCTACCAAATAAAAAATAATAATATATATACTAAACTAAGTATTAATTCAAATGTTTATTAATATTTACATATTAATTTCTTATTTGAAATTTCATGGGTAAGCTGCAGCCCGTGAAAAAATGTGATTAAAAATTTGTTAATTAAAGTAAATAAAGAAAAAGTTAATATTTATGAATTAAATGTCTCGCGAAGCTATTCAATTAAAAGTGTTACTAACCTCCATATTCTTTACAGACTTTAAGTATCCAATGTTTTTAAGATATCTAACGCACGCAGTGGTCATACCTGAAAATAATACAAGATATCTTACATTATTTGTACAATGATAAACTACAGTCGCAATATATAAACGTTTAAAATAATAGAACAATATGACTCACCAATAGTTACAGTATATCTAATGGGTGTAAATATTTTATATAAAGCATATGTGAGAGCCCAATCGCCAACGTTGGAATTGCGCAATGCATCTAAATATTTATCGTTTAAATGTAAAGATTTCAATATTCCAATAATATCGATACCACTGGAAACAGTAGCCAATTAAAATCTTTAAAATCTCATTTAATGCATTTTAAATTTTACTCGCCAAGATATGTAATTATAACTTACTATTTTATAGCAATATAGAACATGGATACCCAACAGAGCGAAGTAGCAATATGTACAGGTAGAAGAACATTCCAATAATTTTTAGTTAATTGTTTCATTTTTTGAAACAAGGAAACATTTTTTACATTCGAATTATCAGAATCATTGATTGGCAATTCAGATTTTGTTGAATAATTTGTTTTAAAAAAATTACTATACTGAATAGTATTAATAATGCATTTATGACTGGCTATTATAAACCTTTTATCATTTTGATTACTCGATATATCAAAATTATTCAAATGGCATAAATGCTCCCGATGCTTATCTAATGCAAAGAATTAATAAACAGAAACTTGCATTTAATAATATTTGGAATATTTTGAAAATCTAACCTACCTTGATAGTGAATTTGTCGACATGCAGCAACTTTTGGATATTTATATAAAAAGGATAATAAATTTAATGAAAATCTCGAATGTCTATGAGATAATATATAAGTACATTTTACTCCTTGGCAAAAAACAAAATCCATTTTAAAAGAAAAGTTTTTGCACTTTGTGTGCCTTTCCTTAACCTGCGATTACGTTTGATTCCAATGCACGACTACGCTTCTTCGATTAATCAAAATAAGTCACCAAAATACGCCCTAATTATTGGCGATCGAATTATCTTTAAATTCACTCAAATCTTGCATATTTAAGACCTGCATGTAATATAAGAATTTTATATTGTCTTTTTAAAATTTTCAGCGCAACCTAGTCGAATAATGTGTTGTTTTGCTACTCTATCGGATGTGTCTCACAGCTTCATTCTACGCAAATGTTAAATCTATATAAAAGCTTTAACACGCTATGTTCTTGCACTCCCATATTTGCGTTTTAATCGAGTTTTAATCGCGTACAGAATTCCACCCTAAATTTTCCATTGCGATTGTAATGCTATTGATGCGGTTAGAAATCCGTGTTTCACGGGTATTAAGGAATAGTGCCGAGGCGCATGATTTCAAAAAGTACCGATGTGGATACAATCGGCAATGTAAGCCATTGGTACTTTGGGGTGCTTTGGGTGGGAATAGGCAGAGTTTCGCGAATTGGACGATCCCGAGCAACGATAGACCGGAAACGATGCGCTACTCACTCGTCTATTCGTTAATTATTCGAAAAAGCAACGTTACGTTCGCAAAATTACAGCAATGCAGCTGGATTATTATAATACGAGAAACTCGTTGTTATTGCCGTTTTCGTTACTTGAGTCTACCGCACGTAGATTTACCTTAGATCTCTCTCTCTCTCTGTACATCGTTACGGCATTATTACTCATTATTTTTTTTCTTCAAATGCTTAATAACTTAAATTAATAGATACCTACGCGCTTGGCTATTACAGTGAATAAGAAAAAGAAATTATTGGATAGGTAAAAAAAAATAAATAAATAAATAAAAAAAAAATTGATTAAATTAATTTGATTAAAATTAGCATGGATAGAAGCATCGAAGGATAAATAAGACTCATAAACGTAATAGCGAAAGCCTTAGAAAAGTGAACGATTTGAGAAAGCGTTAATGGCTTTATACAATTAACAATAAAGCTTTAAAACCTGAAATAATCATATGCCTGCGTCTAATATTGTTACGTGTTACATATTATTGCAGATTTATATGTTACAGCCACTCTCGAAGCTATTCACATTACCTTCCTCTATGCGCGTATGAAGCTTATACGTAGAAGTTGCGTATCATAGCATAATAGATGACTTCGACTTCTTCCTTTTAAAAATCTTTTCGTTTCCCCTTGTCATGGGTTTCAACTATTTTGTTACATTCGCTCGAACACGATGATATTTATCCTTTCCAATTAAATTTTCAATTGCTTTAATATTTCTGTTATTATCGCTGTCGTTATTATTATCATTGCTCATGTTAAATAATTCTTTAAAGCTAATAAATCTGATTTTTCTTTTGCTTTGAAATTGAAGTCTATTGTAAGTGAAAGTGAAACATTTTTACTCGAGTACGGGGTTACAATTTTAGAACATTGGAAGCGTTACGCGACCACGACGAATTTATTTTTCTGTACGACACATTGCGATGGCTAAATATTACTCGTTTAAGCCCACATTTATTTATAAAAATCACATGCAAATCTAAGAGAGGCGTAGTTTTTTTCAATCATTTTTGCTTATAAAGATAATTGTAACTCACTCGCTAAACACTACAAATAATCATTAAGTATTTATTTATATTGCAGAGATTGCGAAGGACTATTTAAGATAAAAGATACTATTCAAGAAAATATATATATATATATATATATATATATTGTACTGTACAATGTATTAAATACGAATGAGAAAAGTAATAATATTGTTAAGTATTTTGAAATTTTGTTAATTACTTAATGATTCATAATCTATTGCAATTGACGCGTATCCGATTTATGTGTAATAATAGCTTTGGATTGTACAAATAATCATATAAATATCGATACAATTCTCGTATTTCTTACTATTTTTGAAAAAATAATACAACCGAATAATTAAAATAGGAGCAACCCATAGCATGAAATATATAATGTTTATTAAAGAAAATTTAATGATAGAATAAATAAAATAAAGAAATTATTCGTTTCAGTAAACGACGAACTTGTAAAAAGTTAATAAAATCTGTAAATTATGCAATTTTATACATTATAATTATGAGAATATTACAATACGACACAATTTTTTAATGCGAGATTATATTAAAGTTTAATATTATATTTCAATTATATATTTAATATATGTTCTAAATTCTTTTCTTTTCTCTCTCTCTCTCTCTCTCTCTCTCTCTCTCTTTACACATTTTAATACGAAGCCTATGTGCATAAAATACGTAAAATAGATAAATTTATCATGCTTTTTCATTATATAAAAGGTCTAATTCGTTAATCATACAATTCCAATTGATTTATATTATGTAAAATAAAAATTATTTATTAATGAAAATAATAAATTTATGGTTTATATTTATTGCAATTGACAAAATGAGAATGACAGTGTAAAAAGTATATTATAACTGTCTTTTGCAAGCAGCATAATGGATAATTGATCAAAAAGGAACTTTAAAAAAAATTGTAAATACATTGACAAATCTAAAAAGTATTAATAATAATAAAATTACATAGAAGGATTATCGTTACACATATGAAAAAACAATTCTTAATTATTTAAATATTTAATTTCTATTATAATTCGTTCAAGCAAATTATTTTATAATAAGTACAGAAATGCATGGCAATGTAACAATAAACATGTAGTCATTATAAACTTATTACCAAAAATTTTCGTCATCTGCTAAAAAATATTATCGAATTTATATATAAATTAACAGTTTTTCTTTTTTTTTTCTGTAAAATTCTGTTGTTACATTAGTAGGTAGCATAATTTAAACAAAAATGATAAAATATTTTATTACGAAAACGTTCTGAAAGATTATATTTAGTAGCTAAATATATATCATTAGAAGTACAAAGTATAATAATCATACTACTTATGCATTATAATATAAAAAAGTTTCATGGACTTTCGGAAACAAACATATAATTCTATGAGAATTATGCAATAAAAAAATCAAGTGCTTTAATAATTATAATTCTCGGGTATTCATAATTAAACATATTATTCACGTTCTATTAATTCAATGAAATAATCGTAAAATTATTGAAAAATTCTGTTTAATAGACTTGATTAATAAACTGTTTATCATATCAGTTTTTTGATTTTATAAATTATATTCCTACTTATTAATTTGTGATTTTATTGAAATTTGTAATACATGTAAATTAATTATTCGCCTGGAGAATGATACAATAAAAAAAATAAAAATTTACATAAAATATAGTCCAAATTATAAAAATACTTTTTATTTTTTTATTTCATATTATCAATATAAATATAAAAATAATAAATATAATTATATGTACATTTTGCTATTATTGAAAACATTAATATATACTATATAACTTATTTAACTCATTTTAAATTTATACGAAAGTAGAATAGAAATAATTATTTATCTTAAATATATCTTACTATATATAAACATCATATTACACATATATAATTTACAGCTTAAATTCAATTGTACTTTAGGTTCAATGTTATTTTGAAAGTTAATAATAAATAAATTTTTCATTGTCTATGCCGTGAGATGAAATGAAAGTAAATAGTTAATAGTAACTCATAACGCATTTACTTTTCGTTGAAAAAATCGATATTCTTAAGTTCTTCGGGCAAATAAATTAGTCCAGACTCATTCTTATTCAACATATTATATCCTTTTCCATAATCTGCGAATATTTTAATAATATAATAGTAAATAAATACTCACAACGATTACTGACTTACATCAAAGAGAAAAAATTACCAAGATTTTTCATCAATTTTGTAGGTGCATTTCTCAAGTGAAGAGGAACTGGCGGTTGGGCACCTCTGTAGTTCGATACCAAATGTTGAGCTGCTCTAAGTGCATCTTCCATCAAGCGAGACTTTGGTGCTCTTGCTAAATATGTTGTACATTGGGCCAACAACACATCGCATTCTGGCATTCCTAATATTTTGCAAGCGTTCATTGTATGAACAGCTATACCTATACAATTTATTATAACACAATAAAAATATGTATCCTTTGCTTTTAGCCCAATGAATTGTGAAACTAAATTTTCTAATCAGTGATTTAATTTGAAGAGTTGTGCTTTTTAAATCTTACTCTTACCTAAAGCTTTTGGATCAGCTAAGCCAATATCTTCGCTTGCCATACGAACTAATCGCCTAGCAATATACATAGGATCTTCGCCTCCTGACATCATTCTTGTAAGCCAATATAACGAAGCATTTTCATCGCCTGCTCTAACAGATTTATGCAGAGCTGATATAATATCAAAATGTTGATCGCCCTTTCTATCGTACAACATATGACTTTTTTTCAGACTCTCTTTAATATCATCAAGTGAGAGTAGCGTCAGATCTTGACTCGCAACTTCGTTATTCTTAGAAATTTGAGATTGTATAGCTAATTCTAATCCACCAAGAGCAATACGAGCATCTCCATCAGAAGTTTCGGCTAACCATTTTATCGTGTCCTTGTCGATTGAAAATTTGCTGTCAGCGCATGAAGAATTAGACACGCCTAATGATTTCTTAAAAAAAAAAAAAAAAAATTAATTAAATTAGAAATATGTGCTTTTACTTAACCGCTTAGTTAGTTGAAAAGTTAATTTTTCAACATTCCACTCAATCGTTAAATCATTTAATAAAACAATTATTATAAAAAGAAAAAACAATTTATATAAATTATTTTATTAAGCTTTGTTGTACTGTCGCTGTATTAGTAAAAATGATTGGCTATCGAAAACCTTTTAGATAATGTATTATGAATAATGATAGACATATTAATTCATATTCATACCTTTTGGGTTATATCGCATATTAATCCTTTTGAAGCTTGCACCGCCTTCTCTAATATCGTTATCAAATTTTCAATAGAAAGTTTCTCTAAAACTATAACACGACATCGACTCAGTAGAGCCGAATTCAAATTAAACGATGGATTCTCGGTAGTAGCGCCAATCAATGTAATAACGCCTGATTCGATATGTGGTAAAAAAATATCTTGCTGTATTTTATTAAATCTATGTATTTCATCCATAAACATAACTGTACTGCGACCAAATTTTAATTCGTTAGAGGCAATTGTTATGGCTTCTTTTACATCGCTCACACCAGACATCGCCGCGGAAAGCTTAACAAACCGATATTTCCCTCCAGGACAGTGTTTACATATATTCGCTATAACATTGGCCAATGATGTCTAAATAGAATAAATTATTCAATGACACATACTACATAATAAATATCGAATACTTTGATTAATACAAATACCTTTCCACATCCCGGCGGACCCCACAAAATAATATTTGGTATTTCAGTTTTACTTAATAATTGATATAACATACTTTGCGGTCCAATCACGTGTGTTTGTCCAATGTAAGACATAATATTAACGGGTCGCATTTTTTCAGCAAGAGGAACCGAATCCTTTGATACCGTTCTTCTATCTGCAATAGTCAAGGGCTGAAAATGAAATTTTGATTTACAAGAATTTTAATCTACGTATTCGAATGCTTCTAATAATTTCTTAATAAGTCAACAAATCAATACCGCATTCTTAGAGGTGGATTTTTCTTTCTCGTGTTCAAAACCATCCTGATTACTTAATCTTGACGGCGATTTAGTAAAAGATTGAATATTCCCTTCAAAACTATGCTTAGCCTTCTTTATAACAAAATTATCTTCCTTTGAGAAAGATCTCTTCATCGATATCTCATTACCAGTTGATTCGTTAAGAAAAAGGCATTTGCTAACGTGATTCTCGATTACGATGGTAGAAAATTTTTTAGAACAAACTGGACATTCTATTGCATTATCTTCTTGGCTGCTCATTATACGTTTAAAACATTTACTACTTTCTATCTTTATGTGTACTAAATTTTTTCGTAAATTTATATTATCTAGGTGATAATATAAACCAATGTGACTGTAGATTATTTAATCAGATAAGTTCTTATAAAATAATACCGGTATATCGATAAGGAAATTTATATCCGACATGTATTCAATGGCATGCATCATCTCGGGTTAGGTTTGAAATTTTCAAATGTACAAGAGAAAGAAGAGAGATTGTACGGGAGGAAAAGAGGAGAACGTGTATGCGCGAGTGCGTGCCTGTGTGCGCGTGAGCGAGCGAGCGAGCGAGAGAGAGAGAGAGAGAGAGAGAGAGAGTGAGAGTGAGCGAGCGGCCGCGCCGGCGGCGTAGCGATGGCAAGGGAGAAGAGAGAAAGAGAGAGATCTTTCCAGTTGTGTACTTTAATCCGGGAAATGTGAACCACGGAAGAATACCGTTATGTGAAGCTAAGTAAGGAAGAGTGAAAGGATCGAAAGAATTGATGTATACACCCTGCATAATCATGTGTATAAGCATTTATTTTTGTATAGATAAATGTACATTTAATTGCAGAGATGTTTGACGAGATGAAAACAAATTAAGAGTTATAGACATCTTCGTGTTTATTTTTTATGTTGACAGTGTGCGAATGATTATTGTTGCAGCGATAAAAGAACTTTTATAAGTAAAATAGTTTTGAATAATGAAGTACTAAATTTTCATTAGAGTTAGAACAAGTTTGTTAGAATATGCAAAAAAAGTAAATTTAAGGCATAAAATACAGGATGGATGTTCAGCGTAAGAATAAAGGTAAAATCCGTGAAGGTAGACAAACCAGTCAAGAAATTACGGAAAATGACAAATATTGTTTATCTACTCATCTCTCTAAAGAATCTCTAAAGAATTACGTACGTATATTAAAATTCATCTTACAAACATCTTATAAACGCAATAATTTGTTATAAATTGCCGTGGTTTGTTGTTTAAAAAAAAGACGAAGAAAAGCATTTTTGCGTTTGATGCATGTTGTTACCCTTCAAATTTGTATAAAGAATTTTTTTAAATTATAAGTTAAATTTAAAATCAAAATAAAGAAACCAAAGTATAATTAAATAATTAAAGATTTAATAATGAATTGTTTTGAATCTTGTATCCTTTATTTTTTATCCTATTTTACAAAGATTTATATATTTGAGCATTAAAATTAAAATAGAAAAATGTTTTTGTCTTATAAATGCAGACATACGTTGAATAGATAAATAATTGTAGCAGTCTTAAAATAATTTTAATGCTATGTTAAAATCTGCGAGATTTTAAATTTTATTTATTCTTATCCTGCATATTTTTCATTTATTTAATTTTAAGTAGAATATTTAAAATGTTCTTATTTTTATAAGAAATAAATTGTATTAATATATTTAATGATTTTGATTTTTTTAATTAATTTTAGTTTTTAATGCGCCTATATGATTGGCATAACTAAAATAATTATTTTAATCTATTGTTTTTTTTTTAGCAAAATTCTAAAAATCAAGTAAAGAAAACTGAAACTACATTAAATAAAACCTTAACACGTATAAAGGTAAATTTTGAAATTGATCTCTTATCGTTGCTGTTATTGTTAATGGGTCTTGGCACTCGCTTATATCGACTAGAAGAGCCTAAAAGTATAGTGTAAGTAAAAATATTATTCATCCAGTCTTAATTTTATTTTTGATATACATAATAAATCAATCCTTTTAGGTTTGATGAATTACATTATGGAAAGTATGTTGGTCTCTATATGAAGAACACATTCTTTTTTGATTTACATCCACCTCTTGGAAAACAACTTATAGCTGCCGCTGCTTATTTAGCCGGCTTCGATGGTAATTTTAAGTTCGATAGAATTGGCTCTTTATATACAGACACTGTGCCTTTATTTGCATTAAGATTACTTCCTGCATTATGCGGCAGTTTAATAATTCCTACAACCTATCATTTAGCATTAGAAATAGGTTTAAAACAATGGAGTTCTGCCGTCGCAGCATTATTGTTACTATTTGGTGAGAAAAATAACAAAAAATACTATGATTAACTTGTTATGACGATTGTTTATAATTTTTTCTCCTTTACAAACTCTTATTTAGATAATGCTCTTTTGACTCAGTCGAGATTCATCTTAATGGAAAGTATTTTGATACAGTTTTTGTTGATGGGATTATTATGTATTATGAAGTTTAGGAAAATTATGGACGATCCAACAACCTTAGCCTGGTGGTTTTGGTTGGCCCTAGGATTAATAAATTTAACATGTGCTCTATGGTTTGTTTATACACGTACATTTATACATTTATAATCTATTGAAAAAAACATACGCTCGACCAAAATACATTAACAATTTTTATAGAAGCTTAAAATAATATGAAGTACATAATATTGAGTTATTCATCAGATGCAATAACATTTTTAAAACGTTAAAAGAATACAAAAGAATACCAAATTGCAAATCCTCGTAATTGAATTGAAAACGAAGTTGTTTTTTTTTTCATCAGATTACTATTTAACAACAAAATTTCTTGTTTTAGCGTGAAGTACGTTGGCTTTTATTCATTGCTTCTTGCTCTTTATTTAATTTTTCGAGACTATTGGTCATTGATTCCTAGAAAGACATTATCAGCTGTGGTTCTTTATTTGCATCTTTTTGCTAGATTATTAGTAATAGGAATAATTATAATTTTTGTATACTTAAGTGTATTTTATGCACATTTGTTGACACTTACAAAAGCTGGACCACATGATTCTGTAATGACTAGTGCTTTTCAAGCGAGCTTAGAAGGGGGTTTAGCAAGTATTACCAAAGGCCAACCGATAGAAGTTACGCATGGCTCTCAAATTACTTTAAGACATACTCACGGTAGGGCCTGCTGGCTACACAGCCATGATCACGTTTATCCCTTGCGGTATACAGATGGCCGTGGAAGTTCACATCAACAGCAGGTTAGTATACTCATTACTATTTATTAAAGGAAATATTTCTCATGCAATAATAAAATGAGAACAATTATACATCTTAGGTCACGTGCTATTCGTTTAAAGATGTCAATAATTGGTGGATTGTTAAAAAACCAGAAATGAATGATTTGGTGGTAACAAGACCTAGCGAACCGATTAAGCATGGAGATATTATACAGCTTGTTCATGGTATTACGAGTCGGGCATTAAACTCTCATGACGTTGCAGCACCAATGACACCCCAAAGCCAAGAAGTTTCTTGTTATATAGATTATAATGTTTCGATGCCAGCACAAAATCTATGGAAACTAGAAATTGCAAATCGAGATCAATTTGGAAATGTTTGGCACGCAATTCAGTCACAAGTAACGCCATTACATATTGATACATTTTTGAATCTAACCAATTAAAATGTAATTTTCAATAAAAAATAAATATTAAGAACATTATTTTATATTAATAACAGGTTCGTTTAATACATATAAATTCTGAGTATGCCCTAAAATTTAGTGGAAGGCAATTACCAGATTGGGGATTTAATCAGCATGAAATAGTAGCCGATCGACTTATTGATCAATCGGATTCAATATGGAATGTCGAAGAGCATCGTTATACAAAAAGTGAAGATCAAAAACAAAGAGAAAGAGAATTACTTAATGCTGAAATGATTCCACTCAAAGCTACTATTCTAAGTTTTTGGGAAAAATTTATTGAATTGCAAACTAAAATGCTATTTAATAGTCAAGAAGTACAAAATACTCATATGTATTCTAGCAGTCCGTTAGATTGGCCTATAACGACAAGAGGAATTGCTTATTGGGTTTCTACTAAGAGTAATGTACGCAATTAATTAATTTACGTTTAACATTTTGAATTAGTTTAATTATTTGATTTAGTTGATTTTGGCAAATAATTAAATATTACAGGCCCAAGTTCATTTACTCGGCAATGTAATTATTTGGTATTCAGGAACGATAGCTCTCTTATTTTACTCATCATTATTAATTTTTTATTTAATGAGGCGACAAAGAATGTATCATGATATATTAGAAGACGAATGGTCACGTTTTATTACTGTTGGCGAAATATTTTTAATAGGATATTTACTTCACTTCTTACCATTCTTTTTTGTTGAACGTACATTATTCCTACATCATTATTTGCCAGCCTTTGTTTTTAAAGTATTATTAACTGCAGCAACAATAGATCATATCTACAATGTTATAAGGTAAACTACAAATTATTTTATTATTAGAGCTAATGAGATTTTCAGATTTTAAAACAATGTTCTATTGTGATTTATAAGAAATAATAGAAAATAGAATATATAAATTTAAGTATCTGTTAATGAGTAATTATGAATTAATTAATAAAATTGATTTATAAATTAGATAATTTAGCACGAGTAAATAAATATATTTCAAACATCATGCTTTCTCAAATTAAATTAGTGCCCATTTTTACCGATTTATTTCTTTTGATTTATTGATTCAAAGTTTTCATACATATCATTTACCAAATAAGCTCTCTATAAAATTTACTCGCTTATTAAAAAGTCTTTCTTGCGAAAAATATACGATTTTTATATTTAATTTTCATTTTATTTTCCTTATTATTTATTACCCATAAGAATAGAAATTTTTTAATCCATTTCTTTTTATACATTTCAGTTTTCATTGCAATTTCAAGATTATTTTAATTGGTTACAAGTTGTGCATTATATCTTGGATTACTCTTATTGTATTCGTTTTTTGTAAATTTTCTGCACTGAGTTACGGTATCACTCCTCTGTCAGCAAAGGAAATACTAAAACTGAGGTGGAACGAAGAATGGGATTTTATTATCCACAAGACCTGAATAATTCAATTCTCAATTTTAAATTAATTATATTCTACTTTTACTATAGTCATTTCATATTGCATAGGTTTTATAAATATTATTAAAAGTGCAAACGTATTTAATGATATTTTAGTTTATTGATTTTATCTATTTATTATTTTAATTTAATAGTGCACTTGAATGAAAAAAATCTCATATTAAGCAAATTGATGGTTTATACTATTTATACTTTTTATTGATAAATATATTATAAAACTAAATTAAAAAAAATAAAATAAAACAAAAAACAAAAAACAAAAAAAACGAAACATAAAAGTATGTTTTCATTAGTCATAATTTTATTAAAGATAAATTTATTTGAATTTTTCATTCTTATTGAAAAATGTACATGATCTTATATACGTACTTAATAAAAATAATAAAGATTAATAAAGATAATTTTTTTTTTTTCAACTCTTTAAAATATTAATAATATTTTATTACATAGGATTTTCTCATAATTGTGCATTAAACTTTTCATAATATTTTTACAATTGCGTAATGTTACGAAACTCTATTGTGTTCTCTCTATTTATCATGTAATTTCTTACATCTAATGCGATTGACAAACTTTTAATAATATTTATGCATCTTTTTATGACGACTTCCGATCGTCCTTCGTTGTTAAATTAATTTTATATCGTGGACAGTAAAGACGGAACTCTTAACTAAAAAAATTAGTTATCGCGCTATAAAATAATATATACAAAATTCATTATAACAATATTTCTAGATGCATAAAGAATAAAATTTTGTATAACAAAATAATGTGATAGAAAAGGTAGAGAGGTTGATATTTTATACAAATCTTGTAATATTATTATTTAATATATTATGACAAATGCTCAATCTAATTAATCTCGACTTGGAAGAGTTACGTTAATATATTTTTTGAATTTTAAAAATTAGTTTTTATAATATAATTGCAATTAATTAGTTGCATTCGGTTTGTCAATCGAATTCATTTAAAATAGATTTAAAGTATAAATTATAAAGTTTATCTTGTTTTATTATGATAATTTAAAAATTCAACAAATAAGTCGATTAATCTATTTCGATGTATTATTATTTAACTTTTAATTTGAAAACTTTTATTAAAAACTTTTACCATTCATTGTCTAAATTTTCACTCATTTAAAACATTAAATATTTTATCTTTTAGGACGAATTATGTTAATAAGTCAATGAATAAACTAAAATAGTAGCGATTTTATTTAATTTCTCTTCTCCGTCAGTGATTAATAAGTTAATTTATTATACAATATTAAGAAGTTTTTCAATAATTTATAAGTTTCTGCTGTAATTAAATTATGTATTCGATCAATTATTCCTTACAGCTTATTTAGTAAAGTTACATTTTTATACAACAATTAGGACATTACGATTAATTTATAGTTTTTAAATTATAAATATATATAAAAATAATATTGTAATATATAATATTATAATTGTTTCGTTAAATAGAATGGTTTTTATATAGCACATTTTATACTTAATTTTTAAGGCCAAAATAATTGTGAAATATTTAAATTTTTATACAAGACGGTGCTGAAAATTGTATATACTAAATTGGATGTAAAATTTATAATTTCACTGTTTAATAGATCTACAACTTATTTGTTAATGCGATTTATTGTTAATGATCTTATACTTTTCACTAGCTGTAACTTGACTGATCGAACAAAAATTAGTAATAATTTTTATATAATTGATGAAAATAAGAGTCGTAATATAAATTAGTTCATAAATATTGCAAGAGATTAATTTTTAACACTTGATAATAACAGTTATAATTTTAATGTAGATATTACAAACGTTTCACAATGATTACGTTTCTTTTCAGAGTAAAAATATCAAAATGAACAAATAAAGATAGCTATAAAATAAGATAGATTAATTAATAATTGATAAAAAAAAAAACATCATTTGTTTTAAATATTGTTATAAATGATTGAATTAGTTTTTACTTATATTTGCTTATTGGAGTGCGATAGTCATTGAATGTTTAATACTTATTAAAAATGAATGTTGAAATAAACAAAATCTTTTATATAAAACAGTGTTATTAGTTTTATTTCCCCTCTACTATATCAGCAGATATTAATTAGCAACAATAATATTTATATTAAGTGCTTTGCATTTGAAATGCCATAATGAAAAAGTTACGCAGATCACAATGGACAATCGGAGCAATGAAATTTCCAAATAAAATTTAATATTATTTATTTGTATTTTCTCTTACAATTAAAATTGCAATAGATATTTGAAAGTATCGAAATACTTGTAAAACGTATTTCTTTATTAAATCCAAGCAATTGATTTACAAGTTGAAAGGAATATGAAATGTCTATGAAAAATGTCATTAAAATAACTAATTTTAAATTATTATAATACATTGTTACTATATTAAATGTGATAAAAATGCATTGAATTTAAATTTCATATTAGAATGAATTAATATTGCTATAGAGCACCTAAAATGTATGCGTTAATTGTAATTGATTCCTTAAGAATCAAATTAAATTTGCTTATGCGTTTATAATTGTGCAGTAGAAATAATTTTAGTATGAGCGCGTAAATGAAATATTTTTATAAAAAAAATTCTTATTCATATATAAACAAATACACAAAAAATAGTACTATACAAAGGACATCAAAATATTTGAGATAATACAATTTGTATAAAAGAATATAAAGTCTTAAAAATTCATAATTCACCGAATTATTAAAATCCTTTACAATTTATATAATTAGATTAAAACGTTTAGTTGTTCAAGGAAATATTACTATAAAATAATTATGTATTCAATTTTCAATTAACAATACATAAATATAATAGATTTAGATCCTAGTTTTGATTAACGATATGTGAAGACAATTGACCTTATGAGACCATCTCTAATGTAATCCACTCCGTTAATTCCTATATTAAATGTAAATGAGACATTTTCACAATTTTGTCTCTGAGCACAAGACCCAGTAGGATATACACCAGGTTTATTGAAAACCACGCCAACCTTGTACATCTGCAATTGCACGAATAAAGGTTTTATATAGTGCAAGCGTAAAATGTAATGCAAAACGATATTTGTACCATATAGGGTCGTGTAAATTGAAAATTACCTTATTTTTTTGAATATATACCGGTTGATTAAACGAAATTTCGACTAATTCATTCGCACCTGCTTTTGTTGTATAATGTGTGTACGTTAATCTAGAACCATCAGAGTCAAGAAGATGAGCATACAGAACTTCCGTGTACGTCATGTTCAAATACGTCTCATTCATAAGGTGATTGCACTAAGAGAAATGTTACAACGAATAAGATTAATTTTATTCTTGAGAGCCGATTGTAGCTATTATGTAAGTAATGACTTACAGGATCTATAGTTACCTGGGTTGGCACTTGTACACCAAGGACAAATATATTTCTGTCGACAGTGAATGTGGCAGAACAATCCATAATATCGTAATTTCGACAATTTGATTGCGAGAACAATGATCTTCTACAATAAAATTTTGGTCTATCCCTAATATTTGTAATGAGTATTTCGTTGGGAGCTTCTTGAGAGTCTCTATACACGTCTCGATTGTCTTCTCTTATTATATCTGGATAACTTAAATCATGAACAAAAAGTCCTGAATTCTTGTAAGTGCTCGAACACGAATCCATTAAATATGGTCGTCTAACTGGCGTGTAAATGTTGACCGAATTGCATTTCTACGAAATAAATAAATTGCAAGTATGTTATGTAGTACACGATCGATTTATGGTATTTATCCATTCTACATTAAAGTTAAATTTAATGAGAATCGTTTCAATGATAATGTAATAATAGACTTACTTTTGTGTCGTCGACTTTTAGAACTATCGATTTAGCTCTTACAGTGGTATTTATGGAAAATGCTTCGGGCATTGGAACATTACTTTTATTAGAGGATATATTCATTAGAATAGAAAATGCCTCTTGCTGCATTAATAATAATGACTTTCCAGGACCCTCTGCAAATTCTTGAGGTGTTAAAGTGAGAAATCGAATTTTCGTTAAAGCGTTTCCGATAACGGATTTTAAAGCCTTCGGATCAGAGGGTTCTAATAATTTGCGAACGCATTCTGCTTTAGCCCATCTCTCCAGAGCATTGAACAAATCGGTCTCCGAAGTGATTTGCAATGCCTCCTGATCTAATAAAGTTAGCACGGTTCCCTGTTCCACTTCGTCCCAACTAGATTCATTCAATACTTCGCTGGTCTTAGAGCATATAATTTGTAAACACTTTTCCATTAATACTGGCTCCTCAAATAATTTAGCAAACTCATAAGCCCTGCAAGCTTTTTTTATGGACAAATCGGACCATAAAAATCTTGTACACTCCTCGACGAGAAAAGGCAGCATGTACTTCTTTGCGCAATAGCACAATTCGCAGGCAAGCTCAAAAGATCCAAACTCAACCGTGTCCGTATAAATATATTCCATTAAAGCTTTAAAGGCCTCTGGCTGAACGTCTCTTATGGGTATAGGGTCATTTTTCTCAGCCATAGAACCATAAAACATGGCCTCGAACACTGGACTGGACATAGCCAAGAAGATTTTGTGGCCTTCCAAAATTTGCTGATGAGGTTCTTGACCAACGATAAATTTGCAATCGGACCTTCAACAATGGAAAGAAATTATTTACTTCACGCCATAAGATAACGAGCGCATAAAAGAAGTTGTACAATACCATTGTCCAGTCTCTAAGAGGTATTTACCACGTTGAGCAATTTTGTGAGTAGTTATCTGCCAATCACATGATAAAACCATTGCCCCGGTTAAAGCACTTAGGCGCCTCCCAATATTTCAATTACTTTCGAATAGAAAAGTCTGGCTTATTATTGGCAAACTTAACGATTAATAGACCAAACTCGATCATTTAAATAAGCAAATGTAAAGAGAATGGGAAAAAGGAAATAGGATAAAGGAAATAGGAAAAAGGAAAAAGGGAAATGCGAAAAGAAAAGAAACGAGAGAGAAAAGAAAAGCAAAGAAAAGAAAAGAAAAGGAAAAAAACGAAATAAAAGAAATGAGACGGAAATGAAATTACGAATAATTTTGAATAATATTCGGTGTCCGGATTCTGTAAGAAATCTATTTTCTAATACTGCCTTGTACCGCTTGCAGCTATTTCTAAAAATAAGGTTGAGTTTGACGTAAACAATGAGATGAAGGAGCAGTAGCAGTAGCCCTTATCATCAATTGACAAAAAAACTGAATACGAATCCGCTTTTGTCACAGATGTTTTCGTAAATAAAAGACATTTTCCCGACGCGGGCCAAAGGATTAATAATTTCTCTTCACCCTGACGGCTTAACTAACTGTCATAACAGCGAGACTTAAATGTTCTAACGCGACGAACGCCACAGGCCTTTCTTTCCTCGCTAAAGACAACCACCACGGCGCTGCACTAGTGTAGCGCAGCTTTGGACCTCCAGTTTCCTCAACTTTTCGTCTCCCGGGCTTGGTAGCCCTGTCTCTCACTTCCCCCGTCGCTTATTTACGCACCACCCAGCGCTCCCGACGGCGACGAGATTCATTCGCACGTGGCCATTGGCTCCAGTCGACTGCACAAGCCGCAGTCACCGAGACTCGCATCGTCCCCGGCTCATTGACTCTTCGACGCGCGACGTCCGTCTCTTCGTGATCGTGATCGTGATCGTGATCGTGATCCCGTCTCGTCCCGTCTCGTCCCGTCTCGTCCCGTCTCGTCCCGTCTTCGTCGCTTCATCGCTATTTCGTCGAAACGAGCGAGCGAGAGCGCGCGCGTGCGCGTATACGCTCAGCCAATGGGCGCGCGAGGCTACAGGGCGCAAGCAAAATATTGCGCACCATGCTAACGAGGCCTTCGATTATCCTCCGTCTCCATAACGAAGCTCCCCAGCTATCTACGACGATCATATCGTTTAATTAGACCCTCCCACCACCCCACATCACCCAACCGCCCACATCTTCCCGCGCCCAATGGACTTGATTGTTGTTGTTGGCCGAGGTGCTGCGGTGGAGCTTGTAAGCGCCCCCCTTCTGCCCCCTACTGCTTCGCTTTGCTTCTTCCCCTCGCAACGCGAACCTACTTCGTTAGCGAAAATACGGGAATCGATATAATAATATTTGGAATAATAATAACAATGATAACATAAATAATCAAATAATATTTAGGAACAAAAAAAAGAAAAAAAAAAAAACGAAAAAAAAAAAAAAAGGAACGAATTGGAAAACGAAAGGAAGGCTGTCGAGGACTAATCACGAAAATGGCTTTTTATTTACATGTGTGATAATCATCGGTGCCTTCGATGCTGACGGACTTGTAACTTACGACTTATTTATTAGATGAATCATTATTTTAATAAATTATCACGACCTCGTTAATTCGTAAGAATTATTAATCGAAACGGCACAAAATGCAGAGCGCTCGGGCAACGAACGTAATTAATTTCTAGACACATATACGATGAATAAATAAAAAATGGCGATTCGCATATTATTTTCTATCGTTATTTTCAATCTGCGTAGAGTGCAATTTATCACTGGTGTGTCGTACGTAACAAAGAAAATGACGAGGCGGTGGCGATGGAGGGGCCGAGGGGAAAGGAAAATTCCGTGGAACCGGTGTAGTGGACATGTGGCAAAACTGACATCTTCAAAGGCCATTAGTCGAAGGAAATTTGTATGATAATCGCGTTATGTATATTAATAATTTGGCTATTAGACAATGAGACGAATAGCATGTCGGGTTAACGAGGTGGTGAATCTCACCGTCGCTTGCCGTCGCGTGTAAATCAATTTACATGGCCGTTATCGAAAGACCTTCAAAAGCTGCTGCTACTATTAAGGATGTAGGTGATCATAATTTGCAGATTTCTGTGGAAAGCGAGGAGGCCGGATCTATTAAGTGAGAATTTAACAATGGGGTTACTATTCAGGAAAATACTAACGGGAACGTCAACGCGACGCTCTGGAATGCTGTAAATACCCATAGGTTCGTCGAGCGGTAAAACGACACTCGACATGGTCAGTGATATAATATTATTTTTTATTGTCAATAACGGCTGGCTTATTAATGACTTATTAAAGCCAACTGGCTGAAATAATTGTGCTGAAATAATGGAGAACGAAGAGTTTTGCATTGAAATTTATAACGATAAGGCCAATAAGTCGTATTGCCAATGATTTTTGTATCGTCGATAAAAGCTTCAACGGCTTTACCCTTCGAAATATTCGTCAATTCACCGCTCAGAGGCTGAGAATTTGCATTTGAAACGCATATCTTTCTCTGGAACAGTGAAGAATTGTTTTCGAATTGTCAATTAAAATGTCAACATTAAAGGCTTGGAAATTTTCAAAATTCGATTTATTTCAAATCTAAATCACATCTTTAGGATAATATTACGCAGAGAATAAATGTGAGATAAACCTTTTAGTATTAATAGATATTAATTAAAAATTCTACATTGTCTTATGTGTATGTGATTTCACATGTAAGTGTGTTATTTTTATTTAAAATTTTTCTTCATATTTACCATAAAATCATATATAACAAAAATTCACTATATTCTCTTTAAAATAAGTTTTATACAAAAGAGTGGGTAATTATTTTTGCCTCACTTCAATAATTAAGTATTTTATTCTTTTATGGATAAATTTTTTAAAATATACCTTCTTTTTTTCTTTTTTTCTTTTTTTCGTTTTTGTTTTTGTTTTTGTGTTTGTTTAGTTCATTATGTATATGAAGGTATTATATAAAGTACGAGCAGTTGATTTTTAGAAGAAAATGCTTTTTTGATCTGAAAATTTATTATATTAAATTATCATTCTATTGTCTAGTGGCTATAATGACATAACCTCTTCAACAATGTTTTATGATTCAACCTTTCCTCTTTTATCGAATGAAATGGTAATTAAAATAAGTTTATAGTTGAAATTTGAAATTCGAACGGAATTAATAACATTTCAATGAGAGTGAACTTTTTAATATTATATAATTATAGAATTTTTCTTCCCCCTTGCCAGAAATTTTATAACTACACTTTAGATATTTAATTAAAAAATCAAACTATTACATTTTACGTAGTCATTACCTATATAAATAATTCCATGATTAGCTTTCGGTTAAAATAGAAAAAAAAGTGCCGAACATATATATATATATATATATATATACACCATTATGATATATTTAAAATGTATACTATTCTTTTAATAATTTCAAATCAAATCCGAGCCATATATTTGACAAGCTACAGTGCTTAAATTTCTGCTTAAATGATTTCTTAAAAAGTTGTAGAATTTTTGAAGATTATAGTCTTACGATTTATATCGATAGTATGTTTAGAGAACAAAAAAAAATAAAAATAGCACCTTATCTTTAAATTATGTTTTAAAATTAAAGAGAATTAACGAAAAAAATTGAACGAATGAAGGTTCCAGAAATTTGTTCCACTTGGTTATTAATTTTTGTTTGTTTTTTTTTCTTCTTTTTTTTTTTTTTTATATATATAAAAATAAGTTTAATGAATAAATAACAGTTGATAACGTAACAAGTATAAAAATTCTATTATGCAATTACATACTGCTCAAAAGTTAGTAAAGACGTTTTTTTCATTATATACACTTAAAGCATTATGCGTATTTTTGCCACAAAGACAACATAAATAATTAACAAATATTTGAACTTACGCGTATGCACACAGATACACGTTACCACACACAACATGCACACATGGATGCAATAATTAAGCACACAACACACATACATACGCTCGCGTAAACACGCATATAAACAAATTATTATGAATCTATAAGATTTTAATGAAATTTAAAATCAACGATGTAGGTTAAATTACTTTGCGTTTCATTTAATAAAACTCTTTTAAAGTGAGTGATTAATATCGTTATTCAAATAATTTTACCTCATCAACCAGATTTAATATTCCATTAAAATCTTGATTTAATTACAAATTTATTCACAGAATTTATTTATACTGTCAAATATTTATAGACTTTAGAAAGTAAAATTATTACAAAAATTATTAATTGCTTTGTTTTATGTTTTTTTTGTTTTTTTTTTGTTTTGTTTTTTTTTTTAATCTTCACATTATAATACAATGATAGTATTTAATAGAAAATTTATTTTTCATAAAAGTTTATTTATTCCCATTGACATATTATTTTTCATGGTGGAAAATTTGTAACGAATTAGCAAATCGTTTATAAACTCAAAATTTATCAACAATAATATTGTATCCTGTTAAAATTTAATAAAACGAAACGAGCAAATGATTCTCAACTAATAGACAGTATTTTACGATGTTGTGAACAAATATATTGGATCAACAGTGGTTCATCATATATATATACATATATATATATATATATATATATATATATTGATATATTGATATATTGATATATTGATACATATTGATCAATATCATTGTAATTAGCATCCGTAATAATTTTCAGCTCATTTAGATAAATAAGTTGACGTATTATGTACATTCTATAAGCATATTTATGAATGGAAAAAGAGTTAAGTAATGATAGTTCTCATTCGGTTTACAATTCAAATAAAATTATCATGAATATTAAAATAAATAAATTAATCTGTTCTTTGTACAATTTATACAAGTGGCACATAATTGCACTCTAATAATCTCTTTGAGAAAGGAAATATCGTTCTTTCAAACTCCAGTAATACTGTGCAGCCAAGGCTTAAAGTAGGTAGTTCTCATGTATACGCCTGGCAAGTATGGGGCTGCACACTTTATACCATGGGAAACCGTACCTACTAAAATCCATCTGCCGTCTGAGCGTTGCAAAGTCAATGGACCTCCGCTATCGCCCTGAAATTTCAAATTACGCTTTATTATATGTACTTTCATTATGCCTCTAATTGGCTGTAATTATATACTATTAATAATTAAACTCGAATAATTGTGGGGCGGGGGTGGGTGGGGGGTGGGGGGGGGGGGGGGGGGGGGGGGGGGGGGGGGGTAGTATATTTTATACGGCTATACGTTGAAACGAGAAGAGTACGAGTGTCGATAATTTCAATTTTTTTTCTCTTATTTTTGCTCTCTTCAATATTTCAAATGCATTTAGAAATGATTTAAATCAAGTTCACTTGCAATACTATAGAATAAACAGATAGTAAAAGATGTACATGAGCTGAGAATATAAGCTTTCAAAGAGCAAATTAACAAATAAGATGAAGAGCGAATCACCATTGAAAAGCGAATATATATATATATATATACATATATACATATTGTAAAATACTGATTTTAAATATTTTGCTTTGATTTTTTTTTAATATTTCACCAGCACTATTTCTAGTGTCTTTAATTTCAAAATATTTGGCTGATGCACCGTTTTTCTTTTCTTTCTTTTTTTTTGTCATTTTAAATTATAAAGTTTGTATTATAAAGAATTGAAAGTTAGAAGAAAAATTCAAAAGTTTAAAGTTTAAAAATTTTTAACGATGTCATACGAATTATTAAAATATCTTTTAAGAAATTTTTATCTTACAAACTTTATTCTTATAATATATGTTTCTGCAAATGGTAATATAAGAACATTTTAAAAGCTTCTTTCATACCTTTGTCTCATAAATATCAATTAAATAAAATTCATTTATAATGTATAAGTATTTGAATGGACGTCAATGCAATCCTATTAATTTAATATATTTCCATACTTTATTGTTAACAAAATTTATTTAATACGTAGCTTTCGAACTAAATTCTATATGTGGAGTGTGTAGAACTAAATTAATAACTACGTATAAATTTACCGACTATATACTTTAAATTCTATTAAATACCATTACACTATTTAATCAGATTAAAAAACTATTTTATTTAACATCTGTTTTGCAAGAAATTCTAAATTGCCCTATCGTGACAATGGCGTAGAGATAAACCATATATAAGATGCTATCGCTAACGAGGAAATTCTGTATTCCTTTAAAGCTAGCATTAATTTTAAAAGGCAACAGAATTATACTAGGATAATAAAAGGCAAGACTTATAATTTAATTGTTATTCTTTTTTTCTTTCATCTCACATTTAAATGCAAACGTATATTTATTCTCAAACGTATGCACTAGGCAAATTTTATAATATCAAAGAAATAGATATTAAAATTGTATATAATTTAAGTAAAAATATTTTTTACTGTTACGTAGTAAAGTGAAAAGATATCCACTAAAGTATTTAGTTTAATTATGCACAAGAAAAAATGCTCAAAGTACTTGATAAAAAAATCATCGAAATTATCTTTTAAAATGTCGCTCATATCATTTTGGTATTAAGTTAATTTTAAATTATTTGAAATGAAAAATATCACTATCATTTATATTTGTATTAACAACAACAACAACAACAATAACAACAACAACAGCAACAACAACAATAATCATAATAGATAAATGACCATTGAGAATTAGTGAGTAGTAAATCACAGTTATTGGATAATAATGTAGTGGTGCTGAAATACAGGCCTATAAAGCTTGAAACCTCAATACTACAGAAGATCATTTCAGGTAATGTAGTAGTGCAACACGTGGTTTAGGGACCGTTATAATCGCAACTTGAAATAACGGATACCGACGCATGTACATACACGTGCGTACGTGAATTGAGAGAGATGAAAAGATGATTGTGAAAATATGTGGGTTCTCGTCTTTACCGCTTATTAGATTTTATCAACTCGATAATAGAAAGTGAAAACAAGATTAAATGTACTTGGTGATAAATAATGAATAATTAACATACTTCGCACGAATCTTTTTGGCCATTTGCATAACCGGCACACATGAAACTGTCGATAATTAGTTTCGAGTGACCTGCTGTCTGGAACATTTCCTGGCATACCGAGTTCTCCATTATTGGCACCTTCACCTCTTGCAGCACCGATGGCACACCACCATCTATCAATAACATATAGTTTTTAATATGCTTTCAGACATTTTAGTTAAGATTTTCCGAGAAAATTACGCTTCATTAAAATTCCCAAAAGTTCCATTCTTTTGCTTTTTCCCAATACTCATTGTAGTGTAAACAATAATCGACAAATAGTCCCGAGATGGACAAAATTTTGTTAACGGTCTTGTGAAATCGTATTGTCAGATAGTTTATAAAAAAAGGTTAAAAAAACTAATGAATTTAGATAATTTTAAGCCATAATTTAATCGATTTTAATTGGTATTTAACATTTAGTGATATTGAAATAAATTTAAGAGTATCTATGCAATTTATGGAGTATTTCTTAATTAAATAATCAAGAATTCTGTACGCTTTTTTTTAAAAAAAATATTCGTTTTCTAATGTTTACCATTTTATGAAAAATGCTTGTTTTCATATTAATATTTATTTTATAGTTATAGTTTATTTTGATGTGTTCCGTTAACTATAATAGATAAAATGATTTTCTATAGCAAAGTCTATTTAAAAGAAGATGCCTTACATATTTTGGAGATTATAGTTATCATTCAAATACATGAAATCACATAATTTTTAAATCTTTAAGTATCCGAACTCTTAACAAACATAAAATAAAATTTGTTCAAATATTTGTACAAATTATAAATTTATATATATATATATATATATATGAGATTTCTTTATTTTATGTTGATAGAATTGTTAGATAATTGTGCTAAGTATGTATAAAAAAATAAACAATTGTTCTAGTTTAATAATATCAAGAATATAAATTATACAAATAATTAAAAGCTTATATATGCAAGTTATATTAAATTATATTAAAATTATAATTCGTTTATTGATAAATGTTTACGCATATTTTATTGTTTTAAAGCTATGTAATAGAATTAAATAAGCCATACTAAAAGAAATAGTATAAAATGTAAAATGTAAAATGTAAAACAAAGCATTGCTTAATGTTTTTATAAACTTCAAACAATATAAGTTGTCTTTACATGGTAAGCTTATAAAAGATTAGTTACTAATAATATATTTTTTTTTTATATAAAATGATTGTAATATTTCTTTAATTGAAATTGAATTATAAATCATATCTTCTATGTTTCTTAATAGATGATTATATTTATTATTCGATTAACGTTATTGTCGAGTGATAATTTAACATATTTTATTTTTTATACAAAATATTAATTGAAATATATTTAAGATGTATTAGTTTACCGAGAAGAGGCATGTTCAACTTTTATTGAGAAAAAATAAAAAAATAAAAAAAAAAAATTAATTATAGTAGTTAATACGAAATTAATTAATGCTCTTAATAATAATTGTAATTATTTGATTACGATTTGTTTATTAAAGCTTTACATACGAATATATATATATATATATATATATATATATATATATATTATATAGAATATATTTACATAGAAATATATATATATATATATATTTCTAAATATTTATCAAAGAAAAATGAACTATTTTTCGAAATACAAATATTTTGTTTCGATTATTATAAATTGTAAAGATTTGTAAAGTTATCGCCTTTTGGAAAAGCATAAAAATTTTTAATGTTTTATAACTATTATAGATTGAGTAGAAAAATTCCTATTATTTATCAATTGTATAGGTTTAGTTCTCTAAATTTATCAATATTTAATAGCTTGCATACAATTGTTGTAGTCAATGAGTATTGATAATATGTTCCCACTTGTCGAGTCGCCTAATTGTACATATTATGCCGATAAATTTTTTTGAAGCCCAGATAAACAGCAATCATCAATTCACTCATTTTTTTTTCTCTAATTTAATATTAAATTTTTTTATTTGACGTAAATTTTACATACTGTATTCATGTATAATGTAATTTTCGTCCTAATTGTTGATTACAATTGTAATGTTCAATTCGTACAATGTAATACAAAATATTTTCACAAATGAATGGAGTATGTAAAATTTATATATAGAGAGATGATAGAATCGCATTTCCTCATTAGAGAAATACTCCACTTCATTGATACTTAATGCTCACAATATTACAATTATTTACAATGTTATGCTGGCCGTTGTATTTGCATATACTATATTCTTCTTCTTCTTATTATTATTATTACAATGAAATAACTGACTAGGTAAAATTGAATGCAGATTAAACGCAAAGGAAACAAAAATGAAAATGCACGTACTGTATTTTAGGCGACCCCATCCTGTAACCGTAGCCATTCTATTGACGTAATCGGTGTTATCATCGGGCATGCAAATTGGCACGATGTGTGCGTCAAATTGTACAGGTGTTTCCAGCTCGAGCAAGGCCAAATCATTTTCAAAAGTGGCTGGATCGTAGGCTCTATTTACAATTACTCGGCGAATATTTCTAGTCACACTGCGACGCGATTCAAGCTCGCCAGATATATCGAACTCCCCGAATACAGCGACCAGTGAAGCTAGAAATCTACAAATATATATTTCATACATTATTATTTTCGTGAACGAAACGTTCAAAGTTTTTTTAATCTCCTCCCATACAACGCAATGCTTAAAGAGCTGCTTCCCTATTACGTATATACAAATTGTTTATATATATATATATATATATTTTTTTTAAAGGTTTTGCTTTCTCTCTATTTCAAATAAAACATTACACGCTCGACTTTTACACATTGCATTTAACATAGAAAGTGTTTCAAAATACACACATTGTTAAATATTAATATATATATGTATATTAATGTAAGTACGTGGATGCATTTTACATAGCGTAAATAGCGAAAATACTTATTAAAATGTGGCACTTTTGACAATAGAAACAATTATTTGTAAATAGAAATAGGAAAAAAATGAAAATAGTTTTTATATTATATTACACGTGACAAGGGAATAGCTTTCAATAGCAAGAAAATGTGAGAAAAAGATCAATTGCATGGCTTTCTCCAAGTGTGAATATTGATTTTTAATCTTCTTCTAATGTGCCCGTACATAGCTTAACTTACCCTGGTTGACAATGGGCCGCCGTTATGATGTATTTATCGGTAATGAGAACACCTCCACACTTATTTTTTGTGAATAAACCGAGCCAGGTGGCTTCGCGCACGAGAACCTGCCAGGGCCATTCGCCGAATGTTGCGCCTTTGCCGCCAACTATTCTGCCCATTTTGATCAGTGGTCTTATTCCGCATACTAAAAAGAACAATTGTAATTGCGTCTCACACGAAGAAGGACATTTGCATTTTATTAGGAAAGATTGTTTAACTTCACGCCAAAAAGACAATTAACTCTTCTTCTCATACAGACGAAAGCAAATGAAAGTGCGGAACAAGTCGAAGAAGTCTACGACTTATTCGTCACACAAGATATTATTTTTTCAACCTCGTAAGAAATTACATTGTTCATAATATAATTTAAGAAAATTAATCTCCATATGTTTGTAAAATCTATTTTTCAGACGTTTCCAGGCAATCATGGTGGACATAAAGTTATACAAGAAATTTATTTCAATATTGATTTTCTATCGAATTGAGCATTATTATTATTATTTTTTTTTTTTTTTTTTTAATCGATTTGATGAATATGGAGCAGAATTTCTTTCGCACAATCAAACCTCAGAAAAAAATACCTTAGATAATATTTAAAATTTTCGTTCAGAAAATTATAATCACGCCGTATCATAAAGTATAAAAAAAGTTATTTTATTACAAGGGATGTTAACAACAGAATCTATACTAATTAATTAAAAATTTTATAATATATTTCCTCTATCGATGACAAATTTGATTGAATTATCATTATCCTTTTTCACAATATTGCCATAATAAAATAGAGGATAATTTTTTTTAATGTATTATATGGAATAATGAATATTTTTTATTTTGAAATGTAAAATAAATATTCGCGATTAATTCGTTGGTAGAATCTGTGAGAAATAAATTTCTATGAAAATACATGATAGCATTCCGTAGTGGCCATATCTTGACGTTATCCGTATTTTTCAATAAATTTTTAGTAATAATTTATATAGTAAAACACATCTATGTATTCCTAAGCATTATTAATATTTATAAATTATCGATACCTAATATACTTCTTTCTTTCCGTCAATGTCAAATCATAATTGTAAGAGTAAAATTGTTTAAATCGTGATAAACTTTATCAATCCTGGGACATTTTAACTATTTATTTAATTTCGTAAATTAAGAGGTATCAGACAGTCTAAGATGTACATCTTAGAATATTGTTTTTTCACTTTTTTACAGTGTTACATCATAAGATTTTTTGTTTATATAATCACGCAGTTCTTTTTGTGATAAATTGTAAATTGGATTTATCTTTATTAAACTCGATACAAAATATAATTACTTATTTCCCTTCGTTCACAAAATATTATATTTATATTTATATGATTCGATTGATTTACGGATTTTGTAACAATAATATAATACAAATATTCTATTGCATCGTTATCTATTATTTAAATAATTAGAATTTTGTATTTTGAAGTAAAATTTACTTTGTTTACATACCTTTATGTAAAGTTATATCATTTACTTTCTTTATTTCTTCTTTCTAATGAAATTATAAATATTGATATATCAATTTGCATTTGATTAAAAAAAAAAAAAAAAAAAAAAAAAAAAAAAAAAAATCAGTTGAATCGTAAGAAAACCAAAGTAATTGAATAAAAAATAGGTTTTATTGACTTAAATTTAATTTATAAATATAATTAAATATTTTCTTATAATTAACATGTAATAATACGTTTATCTCTGATATATCGAATATAAGTTATTAAATTATAAATACTTGGGATAGACGTAATGTCGGAAACTTTGTAAATAAATTCTTAATAACATTTGAATTAATTTGTCAAACTGTAGCGATAATTTATTATATAATAATGTATCACATCACCTAACTTTCGTGATTTAAAGCAGTAAAAGAATTTTTAAAGAATTTTTCATTCCTAATAATGCACTGTTTAACTTATTCTATATCTAGCGTTAACATATAAATTTTCTTTTACTTGCATATGTCGGATGAAACATTAAAGTGCGAAGTGAAGTTCTCAGGAGAACAGGAAAGATAAGATTATATTTAGTAGCGCGAGTCACGGCAATCAATCAAAATAACACATCTGAAAAAGTTGAATTTACCGGCTATTTGATATCTTGATTTTTATTAGCATATCCTCGTCACAGCACCAGATACAGAATTTGAATAATAAATAATAATTTACCGCATACGTAATTATCATTATGCATAAGTACAATATGTTAGAATGTTTAAATGTTTTTAAAAATGATTAAAAATTAGTCAATATTGTTTATATTTAATGCTTGTTAAAACTTACAGATAAAATATAATTGTATATACATGGAAAAAAAAAAAAAAAAAAAAGAAAAAAAAAAATTTTGTTTTTGAAATATTTCAACTTGTAATTGTCTAAATTATAAAATTTCTTTATAAAGTTGTTTTGAACAACAATTATTTTTATCGCTAAGCGCATTAATATTTGTGTTGTTGGAAATAAAATTGATAGAGGCATTACAAAAAAAAATAACAATAGCATATCGGTATGTGCAATAGTACAATAAAAATTAAATAACAATAGCAGTGGTCAACGTAAACCGTAATACTTACTCGATCGAAAATTAGCATTTGGTGTAATTTCAGGAATACCCGTAGACGCTTCCGTTGGCTTCGACGGCGTTGTTGTCTGTATATCAAATGGCGATGATCCCGAGCTTAATGTCGATGTGGTAACTTTCTTCAATGGCTTGGTGCGTTTTGTTGTCGATGGCTTTCGTGTACTAACCGTGGTCGGTTTGAATTTTATTGTGGAAATCCTTTGCGTGGTGGTAATGCGAGTCGCTATTGGTTTTTTCGTTCCCTTAATCGTCGGCTTTGTGGTAGGTCTTTTAGTAGTCGCTACCGATATTGGTTTTTTAGTACCAACATTGTCCGCTGTCACAATTGTGACGTTCATAGGATTATAAACTACATCTTTTAGATTTTGAAAATTACCTTGGAGGGATTCAACGATTTTGTTAACAAAGACATCAACTTTATTATTAAGTTCGATGTCTTCAACGAATCCGGGAGTTGGTATTTCATCCTCGCTTATGATCTCACCGGGTTCAACGAGAGTTGGTTTATCCTGATAATGCGTAACGGTTGAGTCGAGCTCCGGATGCCTAACTGGAGGGAAGTTGTTAGTGTCATCGGATGACGTGGTTTCCTCCTCGCAGTTCGAGCCACTTGTTGATACTTCAGGTTTCGGCATTTTATCCGTTGTCTTGTCATAGTGATTATTATTGGGCCAGTGGAAATTTATTGTCGATGGCTTCAAATGGAAGCTGGGCTTATCTGACCAGGATGTTAATGTTGTATATACAGTGGATGGCTTCTTTGTAACGAGCTTCGTATGCGATTCGTTTTCGACATCCGCTAAAGGGTCTTTTGTGATTGAAGGCTTGGAAGTGGCTTTATCATTGAGATTAACGCTAATATAGCTAACAGAGACTACTTGCTTATTACCGGAGATAACGGTACTGATATTATGTGTCAATGTGGTAGCGATATTAGGTTTCTTTGTAATAAGTGTAGGTTTTGCAGTGTTTGTAGGTAATTTCGTATTGCTACTACTCGTAAGCTTCTGATTATTTTCACTGAAATGAGTTGGAGTGCTCGACGTGGGAATAGTCGTATATTCCGTGCCTAATGGACCGAGCACAATGACAGTAGGAGCTGGTGGATTTGTAGTTGGTCTTGATGAGTAAGAGTAACTACTGTCTTGATAATTGGCTGCTTGTGTAGAATAAGAATTCATCGAATCCGATGACGGATAATAATTATTGGTTAACCTCGATGGATCAGTTACTACCGAATTATAATGATAATAGTTGGGCGATGATGCTGTAATGAAGCTACTCTGCGGTAAATAATTCATTGTACTCGATGACGGATGTGCTGTTATAATTTTTACAACTGTTGGTTTTGATAATCCATCGGTGTTTATCCATTTATATGTCGTAGGCCCATTTGTCACTATAAGGGGATATTAATTAATTAGAAATATTTTTTTCATTTGTTCATTTAATTTTTAAGTATGAAAAAGAAAACTCTGTAAAATTAAATCGCTATATCTACGTTCAAATGCACGAACGTACGCGAATAAATATGTGTCATTAGAATTGGCAACTCTGCTTACAAATTAGTGACAAATATAATACGTTATAATTATAATATTGCTCATTATAATTTCTTACAATTATATTATAGGATTAATATATCTTTTAATATTCTAAATACAATAGTAACAATGTTTTTTCGACAAAATCTATCCATAAAGATATAATGTTATTTTAAGCCAATAATTTCTTCATTTCTACTTCGTTACTCTGAATACTATTACGTATGAATAAGAAGCTGTTAAATTAAAAATTTCTAATTCCAAAATTTAATGTTAAAAATTTCACTAATTACGATTCGTGTTATATGTAATTTAAGCTAATATAATTATACTATTAAAATGAGAAAAGCAAATGATTCTTATCGCCACGAAAATTGAGACATATATATATATTCGTTAGTTTCAATCATTATATACACATGCACCTTCTTATTATCAATTAAATTATTAAACAATATCTTTATTAAAAATATTTTTCTGTTGAATAAATCGAATTAAAAAGTAATGTTAGGTATATTATAATTTACGAAATAAAGTGTCCGAAATGCCAATATTGTAAAACGCATGTGTGACCAATTTTACGCATAAACTAGCACGAGAGTCTAATTGGTAAAAAGAAATGTAATATCCGTAATTTGGCTTTAAAATCTGACCGACATATTCAACGACCACAACTAATATTGCAATTAAACTTAAAGGCATAATAAAAATTGAATAAAAATTTTATTCAATCATATAGTCGTAACAAAGTAGTGAAAGCCTGTTAAAATCTATCGAATGATTGCATATGCATTTACAGTTCATTCATTTAAATAGCAAATTATATTAATGTTAATAAACAGGGATAATGATGAATTTATTAATTTTAATTTGATGCTGGACTCTAATTTTGCAAAAATCTTGATAAACGTACTTTCATCATATTATGAATAAAAGAGTGCACAAAATATGTATACTTGAACAATAATTTGAATACACCACCGCTTTCATTTCAAAATAATTAGTGTAACGAATGACGCGCTAAAAGCGAAGAGTCGAAAGTGAGCGGCAAAGGTAGGAATGGAAACTACGAGCTTAAGATCGGGCCATGAATTTATTAAGACGAGAGGAGAGTGGAATAAAGAAAGATGGGAAAGATTTTTGTGTTTGCCGTTATGTACGGTCGACTTTGTTTTTTCTTCTTCTTCTTTAAGAAGCATGACTGCCGCAATAGACAGGAAGCTCGCGTGAGTTGTAGATACGGGAGATGCGAAATTAGCACCATAGGTCAAGGTTGTCAGGGACATTCACCCAAAAGTGTGAAGGTGAAGCGAACAAACGAGAGGAGTCTTGTGAAAAGATCTGCTTTGCTTCCTCGATCAAAACTCTCCCGCAACAGAGCCGAATTTGGTAATTGACGCACGCGAGTGTGGCATAATTGCCAATGTTTCAAGCTTTATTTTCCTTTTTCTTTTTGTTTTTGTTTTTATTTTTTGTACGCATGATTGCGTTTGTCGATAAATACACAATTCAACAGTATATTGTGTATCAATTATACATTAAGGTATGAATCGTGGATCGATAAATTCGTACTCTCACTAATTATCGACTGTACGTAATTTGTGGTATCAAGCGTGATTCGATAACTTATTCTCGAATAAACAAATAAAAACACAAAAAAAAAAAAGAAAAAAAAATGCCTTTCTGCAGGACAGAAAGTAAAGTATATTCCTGTCTCGTGCAGCCAAGAGCCTCTTCGACAAACGTCACTTAACATGTACGTGTAACTCACGCGATGCGTAAGAGGCAAACCTCTTGACATTGTAGGGAGCACGTACTAACTGGCCAATGGTGGTTACCGGCAATTCTAGACGCGTTTTAAACATTTTCTGGCTCGTCCGATGTACCGGTACATTAACCCGAGCTTAAATTAACATTGCTAGCGTGACCCGATGCACATGCATAAAGTTTAAATTTCAAATAACATTTGTCGTCAAGTCCAGGTGCAAGATCGAGTCCTTTTATAAAATCGGGCACGGTAAGAATTAACTTTTTACGTTTTTCAATATGAGAAGTGATTTCGGCCACTAATAGCTTGTTAAGATCAATACTTGATCAATTGATTCATTCGATCGTTTAATTGTTTAATAAATTTTATGAAATTTTCTATATATTATGATAAAAAGTAATAGATATATTTTTTTAATTTTATTTTATATCTTTTAAAAAAACTTTCGTATCATAATAACTGTGAGTATAAATATTTTTTCATTTATAAATAATGTATCGAAGAATAATAGTTATTATGCTTTTGAATATTTTGAATTTTTTTTTTATCCTTAACCTCTTATGCTATTTTTTTCTTTTAATTTTTAACTCGTCCCATTTTCTTTATATATTTATATATATATATATATATATATATATATATATATATATATATATATATATATTTTTTTTTTTTATCCTATTTTATTATTGCGTATTAATTCAAAGTTAATTTGCCTTAATTAGAATTTAGTAAATGATGAGAGTATTGTACTTTTTTTTTTAAAAAATTCAACTGACTATATGTTAAGCAAATTATTATATTTATTCGTTAAATTAACGGAGTCCAAATTCTTTCCTTTTTTTTATTTTTATTTTTGTTTTTACTTATAACAAAATTTTAAAAATTCCATCTTAAAATGTTAAAGAATTTACGGATATGACTATAATTATTGTAAATTGTCAAAGACTATAATAAATGTAAATTATTATAACGGATATTGAATCATTCATTAAAACAAAAATTCCCCTCATACATTTTTGTATTAATCAATTAATTGTTCGATTAAATTCTTTTTAAATGCAATGAGCATAAAATTGACTTACTTTGAGTTGTCAGCTTCCCATCATTCGTATCGTTTAATATTGAAATTATGTGATTGATAGCGATCTCTTCTTTATCGAATGTGTCCTGCTTTTTATTGTCAGATTGGCCATCGTAAGCGATCGTAGGTACGCGAACTAAATTGTCTTCGCTTCTCGTTGTCAAAATCATCGGAGTCGTCGTTTCGAAGGACGATGACTTAGTATCTGCTGCATACGTCGACTTCTTATATAATGACATTGGCAATGTGACCGTTTTAGCAGGAGGGAAGCTTATTTTTTCATTGTAAGCAGATATGACTTGTGAGGCGCTCGAACTTTTCTCTTCGATATCCTTAAATGGCGTAGTTAATTTGAAGGTCGTAGAATCTTTTTTCGTACTCGTTATACGTTCGGTCGTATCGATACTTTTGGTCGTCGATTGTGCCTGTAAATTCGTTGCTTCTGTATCAAATTTTAACGGAGTCGTTGTTACAATTACGCTTTGTGGACTAAAAGGCTTAAAGTGCTCATCAGGATTATGAGATTCATTAAGTGTCGTGCCATTCTTATTGAGTAAAATTGTATCCGCTCCTGTGTCATTTTTCCGATGCAAGCCGTGAGAAAAAAGTGCTGGTAGTTGATCAACGGGATCGGCGACTTGAAAAATCTGATCGGGTCGCAATATTGTTGTAACAGGATTAATAGCCAATGTGTTGTGCTGCTCTTGAATATCATTATTACTGTCTGAATGGGTAATCAATGATGGAAGCTGCAGATCATTCAATACTTGATTATGTCCTAAAAGCGTTGAGAAGTCATCTTCCAGATGACTTATATCAACTATTTGTGGTTTCTCTGCATTCTCATAACTATCTTTTGTATTTATAGTAGATGATTTCAAAAACAGGGAATCACTATTTGTCGTAGAGTCAATACTAATGCTGCCAATAGGTGTTCCATCGGGATTTAGCAGTATAGGAACATCAGGTACGTGGTCTATTTCTTGAACGTTAATGACAGGTCCTTCGAAGATCGATATCTTCTCAAAATTCTCGGTAAATTGCTGTACAGATAGCTGGCAGCATGCACCAAAGAGAAATCCATCCATACAAGCACCCACTACTTCACCTTTACGACGGCTACATTCGTAATTAAACATACAAATTGCTGGTGCATTTGATTTAACGAAGGCTGGATTTGTCGGCCGACAAACTTTTGGAGCTATTCTATAGCCGCCAAATAACTTTCTACCTGTATTAATGAAATACATACATACATACACAGACAAATACACTCATATTATCGATATTTTTATAAGCACGCATATATATGTGTGTGTGTGTGTGTGTGCGTGCGTGCGTGCGTGCGTGCGTGCGTGCGTGCGTGCGTGCGTGCGTGCGTGCGTGCGTGCGTGCGTGCGTGCGTGCGTGCGTGCGTGCGTGCGTGCGTGCGTGCGTGCGTGCGTGCGTGCGTGCGTGCGTGCGTGCGTGCGTGCGTGCGTGCGTGCGTGCGTGCGTGCGTGCGTGCGTGCGTGCGTGCGTGCGTGCGTGCGTGCGTGCGTGCGTGCGTGCGTGCGTGCGTGCGTGCGTGCGTGCGTGCGTGCGTGCGTGCGTGCGTGCGTGCGTGCGTGCGTGCGTGCGTGCGTGCGTGCGTGCGTGCGTGCGTGCGTGCGTGCGTGCGTGCGTGCGTGCGTGCGTGCGTGCGTGCGTGCGTGCGTGCGTGCGTGCGTGCGTGCGTGCGTGCGTGCGTGCGTGCGTGCGTGCGTGCGTGCGTGCGTGCGTGCGTGCGTGCGTGCGTGCGTGCGTGCGTGCGTGCGTGCGTGCGTGCGTGCGTGCGTGCGTGCGTGCGTGCGTGCGTGCGTGCGTGTGCGTGTGCGTGTGCGTGTGCGTGTGCGTGTGACTATTTATGTAGAAGCAATTTTTAATTATTACTTAGAGAACAGTAGCAAATAATTATGCGTAAATAAGTTTACCTTTATACTGCGGTGTATGTGATATACTTAAGACAGATTTCATAAGTAAGAACATTAGTAATAGACTGGTAATATTGCGGTGGTGAATCATCTGGAATAATTAAATAAAATTTAAGATCAGGAATCAAACTAAGCCTCGTTATTTATGATTTTATAAGCTATTCAAAGTATAAGATACTAAGTAAATGTGAATAACGTTGATCAAAATATTTTGGCGATAAAGAATTAATTTCAATTGGCTACGATGATGAAAGTTCGAATAAAAAGATTTTCACAAAGTAACAAATATAAGTAATTATTTGAAAAAGTCTTAATTTAAAAAATACTGAAATTTTACACCATATTAACATATTTCCCCTCTATTTGCATCTATTACACGAAAATTAATAGAATTAAATAATATTTTCAGAAAAATTGTAAAATATGTAAATATTAATACTTTGAGT